GCATCACATGCCACAATTTTACCCACATATTCTGGAGGTAATTTTTCATAGGGAAAGCAGTTAACATCTGCTCCTGTATCCACAAAAAAAGGTACCTTAAATTTGTCATCCAATAAGATGTCTACATACCAACGATCCTTCTTGTCTAGGTACACTTGGCCAATAAAGGAATCTGTATGTACCACTTGATTTACTGAATCCCTTCCTTCGTCATCTGTACTACTGCTACTGGTGGACCTTGAACACTTAACAGCTCTGACAGCTTTCTTCCTGCACATCACACTCCAATGACCTCTACGTGAACAAGATCTGCATTCAGAGAACTTGGCTGGACATTTCTCCCTATTTTTACATGTAGGTATGCCACAGTATCCACATCTGTAACCTTCCTTAACTTTCTCATGAGTTGTTTCTTGTTTAGCAAAACTCTTACCTTGATGTCTTTTATCACTACGCTCCCTGTAGTCCTGTTTAACTGCACTAACTGACTGCTCCTGTCTCATAATTCTATTTTGACTATCTTGAAGTTCAGCTTGGCGTGCTATTTGTATTGCCTTCTCTAGTGTCAAACCATCATTTAGTTGCATTCTTTCGCTCACCTTTTTATCAGCTATTCCGATAACTATCCTGTCACGAATTAACTCATCTTTAAGAGCTCCATAGCTACAGTGCTCTGCAAGAGTATGTAGACTTGAAATAAAGTTTCCCACAGGTTCTCCTGGCCTTTGTACCCTTGAATTAAATTGAAATCTCTCAAAGATTGTATTTCTTCGGGGAATAAAATGATTGTCGAAAATCTGCATTACATCTTGAAAGGATGCATTCTCCACTGGTTGATTTTGAAGTAAAATATCTTCTGCTTCATTTCCCATTAAATACAACAGTAGGTCTAATTTATCCTTGTCAGATTTTTGTCCAAATCCACTTACAGACATATATCTCTCTACTCTTTTCTTCCATTGGGGCCATGTCTGGGGCTGTGTAAAATCAAATTCGCTTGGAGCCGAAATGTTCGCAAACACTTCTTTATTTATTTGGATAGGTGCATCCATTTTAAGGATTTTAGGTCCCCTCTGATTTATAGGTTATGCATAAGATTTGCACTGTTGTCACGTTCGACCACTCTTTGCTTGTTTAATGTTAACAAAACAAAGCACCAGCTGCCACCATGTCGTGTTATCAAAGAGGGGTTACAAATAATAATCGTTACTTCACAACATCAGTTTATTCTCAACCCTCAAAACATACATGCTTGCCCGAGCTTCGGCTACGTTCACATGACATCCCTGTCATCTGTGTTGCCTAACTCCGGCGCCTATATCTTAATCTAAGCTAACAACACATATATATATATTATATATATTATATATATATATATATATATATATATATATATATATATATATATATATATATACCAAAGTTACTATGTTCTAGAAAGTTCCCACCTCTAATTCGCGCACGTGACCGATTGTTCTCTTGTCTTCGAGAGATCTGGTGATGATTCTAGAAGCGGTTTCGAGATGCAACTGTTACATGAGACATGCCGAAAGCATGTTCGTAACAATAGCTTAGAATCAATCATGGAAAAAATTTTAATCCCATATTTGTTATGTTTTGATGGGATATATTGCCTAAATCTGCATCTGCTCCGAAAGCTTGCCAACATCTCGTCTATAGTTACGTTTTGTCCCATGGAGTATCCTTGCAATTTTCTACAAATAGTGAAAAGATTTGTATAACAGCTGACAACTTATCAATCTTTAGTCGATCTGATCGAGTTGTCTAGTCATCGAATCTTATACAGTTGTGATGAATAAATTTGAATCTTCGCATTGACATCGAGTGTCTAAATAATTCAATTCCACTACCATCTGTTGCCCATAAATCTTCCAATTTTAGTCGAATACTGCGGTGTAAGCAAGCTAAATACAAAAGGCCCAAAAATGATTTTAGTATCTACTATTTTGTCGGTTTGCATAGCATCTGTTTCTCTGGAATGTCTACAAATTCCAATGCAAAGTCTCTATATTTATTTGTATAATGTAAAATTAAATCTAAAAGTTCTTCTGACATAAAACAGCTCCAGCATTCACATTCAGTTTTTGCAGAGTATTCCTTACTAGAGGCAATTGACACAGTTTCTGTCGCCGAATTTTATTTCCGTAAACTAGCTTTTTTCCCCACTTTGTTACTTTGTCTTTCGCTAAAAAATAATACCAGTTTTCATATACCTTCTCTTCGCTCTCCTCACTTGAAATGTCTTGTTCGCTGTCAGAGTTTTCTGGTCGCTCTTCGAAATAATCGATTTTGTCCACGCCACTTTCGTCTTCAAACTCTTTTCTTTCATTTCCATCGTCAGAATCGAGAAATATACTCTGAAGCTCTTCAACATCTTTTGAATCATCCAACTTATATACCTTTTTCAATATTCTGAATATAATATAGATCTCAGATCAGCCGCTACTTCCGGAGGGTTAATCAGCTTGATCACTTGTTCTTCAGTAGGGATGTGATTGCTCTGTTTCGTCTTCTCTCTCCTTGAGCTGTATTTCTATTTCTGTCTAACTCATCTATCATGTTAAGTTTTTCAATCAAGTTTTTTCATTTAATATCCGAAAAGTGGGATAATCTCGTCTCAACTATCTATATATTGTGTTCGAGTTTTCCATTTCTTTTAGTTTGTTAATCACCAGTAAATTCTTCTTTTAGAATTTAGCATTGTTAGTAAGGAGTCCAGGACAATGTTAAATATTAGTGGGCTGTGGCGTACCCAGGGGGAGTTTTGGGGCTACACCCCCCAGGGCATATAGAGCAAAAAATATATAAAGAATAGTAGGAAAATGTAACTTGTCTTTCACACACAATACAAAAATTCCAAAACGCTAAATTAAATTCCCACTTTAAATATGTAGAATACAAGAATTATTGTATAAATATACAATAATTAATAATATTTTTCATTATATTTAGATATAGATATCTAATATTAGGCTCATGACAAAAGTAGACAGAACGAGTCTGTTGCGAGTAGCATGTTGACATCTCTATGAGGGAAGAGAGCATTTGACAACAGCCATAAAAAAAGAAGAAAGGGAAAGCAAAACATATAGACTAAAGCTAAATAGGAGTAAGACAAAGATCATGCTAGTAGACAGAGCTCGAAATAATCTTCAACACATTAAAGAAATTGGGGGATTTGAAGTAGTAAATAGTTTCATATACAGTATTGTGCGAATTAATGGAATCATAGGCTGTTTTAATGAAAAAACAGTTTATTTAGTAAAAAATTATATTTTGACAAAACTATAAAGGTAAACTTACATCATTCAGTAGGAAATATGTCCCCCTTTGGCAGCAATTACTGCTTTTTACCCGTTTTTGTCATAGATTCTATGAGTTTCTGGCAGTTGTCAGATATCCTTTCATCTCGATACCAAACCTGAATGGCCGCTTCTATCATTTTTGTTTTAGTGGTACAATCGATTTTTCGCAGTTTAGATTTGCAAATGGCCCATAAATTTTCAATGGGGTTGAGGGCGGGCGAATTACCGGGCCAATATAAAACATTGATCTTCTTATTTTTGAAAAATGCCATCATTTCCTTTGATTTGTGACAGGGAGCAGAGTCCTGTTGAAGAATCGCTCCACTTTGGGGTTGACATTTTTGGAGTTGTTTGTCCAAATACTTTTCCAACATGGATTTGTATTTTTTGCTGTTCATCATGCCTTCAATTGGCACCAAAGATCCAACCCCCATGTATGAAAAACATCCCCAAAACATTTTCTTGACTGGATGTTTTTACGGTTTGATCAATATGAGATGGTGTAAGCTTTTCATTGTCGGACTTCCTGACGAATTTCGACCGCTGTCCCTGATCTATAAAGTGGGTTTCATCTGTAAATAGGACTTTTTTCCAGTCGCCTACAGTCCAATTAGTATTTTTAGTATTTTTTGGCCACAGTAGCCTTTGTTCCTTCATTCGTTCAGTTAGAAGCTGTTTTTTTCTGTGGACGAATTGCCCTTCTACCATTCTCCAAAAGTCTTCTACGAAAAGTTGAGTCATGAATCACTATAGCTGATGCTGCTAGATCTTGTTGTAGGTCTTGGCTTGATTTTCTTGGGTCCAATTTGCTCTTTCGAAGTAAAAATCTATCATCTGCTGGAGTTGTTTTTCTCTTTCTTCCACATTTTCCTAACCTTTTTCACATCCACTGATCCCGTTTCTTGTTTACGCTTCAAAATTTTGCTTACTACCCCTGACTCACTCCACACGTTCTAGCAATCTCTCTTTGTGACATACTAGTGTGTTCATTCAACGTGACAATCTTTTCACGCGTCCTAGGCGTAATATCCATGTTGGAATAAAACCAAAAACAACACAAAATAGTACAAAAACCCCCAAAACAACACAAGCTTGGTAAGAAATGACCTAAAACACACTCAAACACACAGTAAGGTTTATGTTTTCAATGTTTGGTCAGCTGTCAACTGTGTAGGTAGTGTTGCCAACTGTGAATATTGAAAAAATGAAAAAAAATTCACAGTGATTCCATTAATTCGCACAATACTGTACCTGTGATCCCTAATAACAAATGACAGAGGGTGTGACAGAGAGATACATAGAGGATTGACTATTGCTAGAACAGCTATGATGAAACTGGTAACAATTTGGAAAAATTCTAGCATAATACACACAAAACTAAGGCTGGTCACTTAAATGTGGGTAAAAACTGTAAGTCGAGGGTAGAGTTGAAGGAAAGAGAGCTTGGGGAGGATCTTCAAGCCGTTGGGTAGATCAAACAAAAATATTGATTAACCAAGGGTACATGAAGCCGAACAACTAGCCCACGACAGGGAAGGATGGAGGGAAATCGTGAAAAAACTGTAAAGGCCTGATAGTCTCACCACATCCCAAGAGGAATTAGGACTGAGGAGTAGCTTTCTGCTTAATGCCGTCCAATTATTGCTCTGTAACGAAATTGGAAGAAGACAACTAATAAAAAAACAGTAACTTTATTAAATATTAACATGTTTTATTGTATAATTAGAAATAATTAATAAATTACGAATTACTTTCACTTTTTACTTTTTCTTTATCCTCAGTATTTTTCTTATTTGCTTCCTCGTCTTCTAAAAACTTATCCCAGTTATCCAGCCGTTGTGATATTTCCGAATCAGTCTCCGCCACTTTATACTTTGTCTTCCCATCCCAAATCTCAGCAGTCAGCTGCCTTTTCATGAACCATCGTCCATTCAACAAAGGAACCACTTGTTCAGCTTCCTCCGGGGTCCCCATATTGATTTGAGCTACCCCTTCAGGATGTCTATCATATATCTGCACTTTTCGTACTTCGCCATATTTCGAACACTCCTCCCTTAGATCCTGTTGAAACTCTAGAATTAGGCCCACATCAACATCAAATATTTTTGGATCGAATAAGTTCTTTACTATTACTACTCTTTCGTGTTTTGCTCTGTCTCCTAGTTTCTTTTCTGGCCTCCAATCAAACAGTTTTTCTTGCTGCTTCTTTAATTTCAATTTGTCTTTCTTTTTCTTCATTTTTGGCTTCAGCGACGGATCAAAGTCACCCTTCATTTGAAATTTCGCTCTTTCCACTTTAATTGTTTGCCCTTTATAATTATAACCGTCTAATACCTGTAAAGATAGATCCACTGATTCGATTTTTATATATGTACACAGACCATCACCTTTTAATAAATCCGTACCAGGTTCTCTATACAACTTAATTCTAAATTTTCCTGAATGAGGATCCCTCATAACTAATCCACATTTCTGCATTAGATCTATGAATTCTTCTTCATTGATATCTGTCGGTAAATTTGAAACATATACATTAGTGTTTTGTGTTTCATCCAATTGAAACCAAGTAGGCTCTGAAGCTTTTCGTTTTTCTCCCTTAACCTTTTTAGTTTTCTCTTCTAACTTCACCACTGGCTCTTCCTTTTTTACTTCAATTTTTGCATTATCTACGAATCCATAATTCATTTGATACCTTGCCATAAAATCTTCATCTACTTTTGGAAACCATGCACTTTTTTCTTTATCCCAAAAATATTTCACACCTTCTGCATCAGTATAGACGTGAGTATCATCTTCAAAACCATAAGATTCATTGCTTTTTAATACCCATTCATTTTTTTCTTTGTCCCAGGTGTACTGACTGCCACTGCTCGGGTCTGTATAGATAGCAACATCTCCTTCATAGTGAACATTTTTTGAATCGTATCCTGTTTCAGATGTCTCTGAGGAGTCAGTGGTTTGTTGGGTATCGTTTGTAATTTTTGGTGATACTTTCTCATTGTTACCTGGAACAATAAAATAATATATTTAAAGTTATAAAAATTGATCAATCCATAAAATATGGATGTAGAACAAGAATACAACAACCTCAAAACGATAATAAAAAAAAATTGCTTATGCATTATTAGGAACAGAGAACAACGACAAAAAACACCACGAACCACTATGGATGACAGAAAATGTAAAAGAAATGATACGAAATTGATAAGAAAAAAAAAACAAAATATATAAGAAATGGCTAACAAATAAAACATCTAGCAATAGAGTAACATATTAAAGAAGAAATGGAGAAGTAGTGGTAAATGGTAGTAAAAGTGGATTTACGCCTGGTAGATCTTGCCCTGATAACTTGTTTATACTCCAACAATTAATAGAAAAAAGAATAGCGGTTGGTACCGAAGTACATCTAGCCTTCATCAACCTACAAAAGATGTATGATACAGTTCCAAGGCTTAAATTGTGGCAAGCTTTACAACAACTCGCCATTAGTCCATACCTTTTAGAAATAATAACAGTATACAGGGATAACACTACTTATCTAAAAATCGAAAATAGACTATTAGATCCAATAAAAGTAACTAAAGGAGTAAGACAATTTGTGAATTGTCATCAGTTGTCAATTGTAATTTTTACTTTTGAATACTAAATTATGGCTCACCTAAATGAAACACAACGCATACAAATATTAATTCTTAGCGGATGCGGAGATAAAAAAGAACGCAGAACGAAGTATGCAATTTCTTCTTCTTCAAGTGCCGTCTCCATCAATGGAGGTTAGCGGTTATGGTGGCAAACGTTTGTCTGTCTTTAGCTGCTCTTAAGAGTTCCTCAAATCCAAGTCCTGTCCAGTTTCTGATATTACGTAACCAGGACAATTTTTTTCTTCCAATTCCTCGCTTTCCTTCTATTTTGCCTTTTATTATCAACTGAGGGATGTAGTATTTCTCGTTGCGCAACAAATGCCCTAAATAACTGGTTTTTCTTCTTTTGACTGTTCTCAATAGTTCTTTTTCTACATTGAGTCTAGCTAGTACTTCTTCGTTTGTTTTTCGTGCTGTCCAAGGAATTTTTAAAATTCTACAGTACACCCACATTTCAAATGCCTCGATTCTATTCAGACTCTTTATTTTTAAGGTCCACGTTTCGACTCCGTAGAGAAGAACAGACCAGATAAAACATTTTACAAGTTTTAATCTCAATTTAATATTTATATGTGTATCGCAGAATAGAACGCGCATCTTAAAGAAACTATCCCTAGCTTGAACAATTCTCGCTTTAATTTCTTGTTCTGGGTCCAGCTTGCAATTAATCCAACAGCCAAGGTATTTGTATTGGTTTACCTGTTCTAAAATATTCCCATTTTAGTTTTATAGGTAAGGGGATATTCTGTTTTCTTTGGATCACCATTACTTTTGTTTTTTTTTTCGTTGATCTTCATTCCAAACTCTCGACAAGCATCCTTGAGGTGGTCTATAACCTCCTGTAAGTTTGTGTCTGTATCAGCCAGTAGGACAGTGTCATCTGCATATCTTATGCTAGATATTGGTTCTCCATTAATTTTTATTCCTGTGGAAAGGTTTTCCAAGGCTTGCTTGAATAGTAGTTCCGAGTAAAGATTGAACAGCATAGGGGATAGTATGCATCCTTGCCTTACTCCTTTATTTATACTAATATTTCTAGATGTATGATCGTCGATCCTAATCTTGGCACTCTGCCTCCAATATAAGTTCTTAATTAATTGGAGATCTTTACTATCCAAGTTGATGCTCTGCAAGGAATTTAACATTTTATTATGGTTTACGCGATCAAATGCCTTTTCAAAGTCTACGAAACATAGAAAGACATCCTTTTGTTGGTCGTAACACTTCTGCAGCAGTACTTGTAGTGAAAACAAGGCCTCTCTGGTCCCCATTCCGGCTCTGAATCCAAATTGATCGTATCCAACTTCTTTTTCACACCTTTTGTATACCCTATTGTGAAGTATTTTTAATAGAATTTTAAGCACTTGGCTCATAAGACTTATTAATCTAAAATCTGCGCATCGCCTGGAGTTAGGTTGTTTTGGAATGAGAATAAAAATAGATTCTAACCATTCCTCTGGTATTTTTCCGCAATCCACATTTCAAACCGATGGATGGAATTTCGAACATTTAATTTAAAATAATAATTATTATCCATTTGGTTACTTTAAAGTACATTATGGATTAAATCATTAGTTGTAATTTAGTTGAATTTAAATGAAAAAAAATTTTTTTGTACCCTTAAAAAATATTTTAGTTAAAAAGGTAATGTCGTTAAATAGAGAATTAAATTCTCCTTCAAATTAGGTGTCACATTATACCAATTTCTATTTAAAAAAATTAACGGTTACGTCACTACACCTACACCGGTGACGTCATCCCTACTCCATGTACGTTATAAGATGGGTATTTTATAACAAAAATTGACCTGTTTCGGGATTTCCCTCAAAATTCGACAGTTCTCGAAATAATTATAATATTCCATAATTTAGCCATTCACTGTATATTTGATCAAATGAAGCTTTAATTGGTATGCAAATTGCAGGTTTATAGTATTAAAACAATGACACAAGAAATTACTATTCATTCTTGCAAATGCTTAATTTTACCTAATCATCTCTTCCTTGGTCATGAAGATACAGAACATCTTAAGTTACATAACAAACATTTTATAAAATGTATATAATTAAATTCTTTTTTATATATTTCTGCCTACTTCTCCTATGTTGTTTTATATTTTTTTTAAGCGATGGCACCACTCTAACTGAAAATTTTTTCAATAATGTACTACAATTTGTGCTTCATTTCTGGCAGGTAAATAATTTTGAATAACCTTTTAGTATTTAATCACTATCAAATAATAATGTTGTCCCGAAATGTTTAGAAAATTTTAAAACTTATTTTTCTGTGTCTTTAATAAGGTTCACCCTATGAATTAAAAATATAATATTATGTATTAATTATTTGGAATATAAACTATAAATTATGTGAACTTTAACCACTTTGTAAGTCTTTTGTACATTAATTTCATAAACTAGATTAGCTGGAACATTTTCAGAATTTTTTGGTGTACTGCTTAAATTACCTTTTTCTACATTGCCACTGTTGATTTTCTCCTGACTTGATTCCTTTAAATCATTTTCTCTCAATTGTTTATTACTTTCTGCTTCAATTTCATCAGTTCTAGCTTCAGGATCGATATTTTTGAAACCTTAAAAATTGACATAACAGTGCCCAGATCAAAAAATATATTAGTGGACTACTTACTTGATTCGAGATTGGTATCAATATGCCCCGATTTTTCTTCAGTCATTTTATATTTTAAATACAAAATAAACCTAAATATTGACTACTACATAACCTCAGTTTTTCATGTCAAATTATCTCGAAACCATTGGAGAAAATTCCCATTAAAGAAATAAGTTTTCGTAGAAAAACTAGTTGTTTCTTTCTATCTCACGAACAAAAAGAGGTAAGAGAATAAGTATTGTGTTAGTTCAACAGATGACATCTTTGTTTTCATTGCATAAAATAAAGATAGATATATATATATATATATATATATATATATATATATATATATATTATATATATATATATATATATATATATATATATATATATATATAATATATATATATATATCAAATTATTCTCGACCGTACTGTGTTAAATATTATTTGTAGTCTCAGCAATTGGTCTGTGTGAAATAAAACTCTATTTGTTATTTCTCAATATTTCGTCACGATTTTGTGACTTCTTCAGGAGAAGAAATATTGAGAAATAACAAATAGAGTTTTATTTCACACAGACCAATTGCTGAGACTACAAATAATATATATATATATATATATATATATATATATATATATATATATATATATAATATATATATATATATATATATATATATTTATATATATTATATATATATATATATATATATATATTCGCTGTGAGTTTCGCCGGTAGCGCTCTCTCGCGGTTTTAAACTTGTACTTTTCTTGTAAAATCAGTGTAAATGAAATATGACAAAACGAGAAAAATAGATATTTATTTAAAAATACAAAATAATGAACTGAAATATTATGGTAAACTGATTAATGAACGAATACACAGAATTAATAGTAAAAGTAATTACGCCTTGTTATTTTATTCAAGCGGTAGTGTGCTTGCCTCGCATGCCGGTGGTCGTGAGTTCGAATCCTACCGCCGGCAAGAACAACTAGGCATTTTTAAAAAATGTCTATAGGCCCCAGGTCGACTCAGCCTGAATAAAATGAGTACCTTGGGTAAAACCAGGGGTAATAATAGGCGGTTGAAGCGTAGCACTGGCCATGTTACCTTCCTTGTATACCGTAGGCCCTAGATATAGCAGACTACCCTGCTATACTCCCAAAGCCGCGTGCGGTATAAAACGGGAGACTATTATTATTATTATTTTATTCATTATAATTATAATATTTAAGATATAAGTTCTTGCGACTGGGTGACTACTTACGCAAGAGGTCATTGAGAAAAAGAAGAAGTGTATATGAAAATATTTAATGGTTAAAGCAAATATTTAAGGTTATAGACGCTTAAAACCATCGAGCAATAAGACAAAAGAGGGAATGTAAAGGTAGTGGGGGTAAACATATTGATAGACAGGAAGTGCCATCTTGAGAGGCCACTTTAGACAAGGATAGACAGTCTCTTTCCTTGTTTAAGAAGTCAAATTTAGTTAGGTTATGTTATTGTTTGTCCCAACTGTCACATGAAATTTTATTTATATTGAAATCTTTTACCAATTGTCTCACTTTTTAGACTATTATAGTTAATATTTAATTAAAACTTTCTCGTCTGAAAAATATTTTATAGCTATTGTTAATAAGTGTTGGAAAATTTAAATTTAGCGCCTTTGCATTTCCGGATATGTCCGCCATCAGAGGCCACTTTTTTGGTCTCCTTTTCATAACGATTAGATTCCCTCTTTTATCTTTTTTCTCGATGCTTAAAACACAGTATAAATAACAACAAGTTGTTGTCTATACTGTGCTTAAAACGTCTATATTCTTTAGTTAAAGGTTGCCTTTACCTCTGTAATTCTTGTTTTTATTTTACATTTATATTCTGTTTTTGCTCAGTTATTTTTTGTGTGCGTAGGCCTTAGTGCTTAGATATCAATTTGTTTTAATTCTTCTTCTTCTTCTTTCGTTTTATGGCCTCCACCTCTTAAATTTGTTTTAATTTTATCAAAATGGATATTAAACATTATACTGGTTTTAAGTCTATATCACATGATATCCCATTTCAACCAGCTACACCAAAGAAGGGAAAAGGTTTAGTTGATGCAGGGCATGTACGAAATGTTTCGGAATATAATAGCTTTTTAATTTTACACCATATAAATATCATGTTTGCATTATAGGTTATTTACTTATTTTTCTCGTTGATAGCAATAATCCATTTTTCTCTTTGAACTATTTTATGCTTGGCAACAGGAAATTAATAAAATTTACAATGACTGCTGTACCCAGTATTTTTACATGTATCATATATTTTTTCTTTTTGAAAAATCCATATTCGCCATTATTTGAATGTTTACAAGTTAAATGCACAAAACTGCCACTAACAGCGTTGGTGAAAACTGTCAAATCCCCTCTACTCATCGGCTCACAGCGAATAGGGATTAAGGATCACTTCGATCATGACATAATTAGAGGAAGTGACGTAGCGACTGCTAGAAAATCGTTGTTCAACTTCCTTCTCTACGATTTTCGTCCTCTTTTGCTGCGAACCTTCAAAGGGAACGGTTGTGTCAAATTGCAATATTTTTTCTAATTGTAATTTGTAATCGATTTATTAAAGTAGTGATATTTTAATTCGTGTTCTACGCTTCAGAGTTAAAAGAAAACTAAAAATGTAAGTACTAGTTCATTATATGCATAATTACATCATTTTTTATATATTTACTAGTAATAGGTTTTTTTACCGAAATAATTGTACTTATTTCTTAAATTGTACCATTATAAACGTTGTAAATTTGCTTTATGTGGTTTGTAATATTCTTGCAATATCTTGTTGCTATGCGGTTATAAAATATTCAGTAAATCAATACGTGGAACCGTTGCGCTTTGCGCATTAGTTAAAGTTGGGAATGGCGCATTTATTTTACCTTTTATATTGATATTGATTAATATATTCACTAATTTGTCATGCACTATTCATATTTTCTAGAATTACATGTTTGTATTATTTTACATGTTATAAATATTCAATTTGTACGATTTTTCTTGACATTATAATTGTAGGTACTTGATATTCGTCTGCCATATTGGTTGCGTTTTATACGAAGTTTTTCTTGTGTATGATCCAGTAATTAGTTTACGTACAATAAATAGTAGTGTATTTGTTGATAAATTGATTGAAATTATTGACTCTAGTGGCATTTTCAGTATTGTTTTTTCTGTATTTTCCATATTTGTCAAAAATTCCATATTTTATTGATCATGTGTCCACTGCAGGTAGAACAAAGAACGCACATGTCGTGAACTTACGTATATTATTCACAATTTAATATTTTACTGCTATTTTATACAGATCTTGAAATCATCAACTTCCAAGTAGTATTCTGTATGATGTAATTTCCACGTATGCTTTTATTAACCTTTGAGACTCCATATTTTATTGATAATGTGTTTGCGGTGAGAACAAAAAACGTTTATGCCGTGTGTGCTGAAATTATCATAATTATTAAAATACAGATATTTTTCAGGATATAACTTGTTTGTATATTGCTGGTATTTATCAATATTGAGTTTTACAATTTTCTTGGCATCCTTACGGACCTTTCTCTAAGCGGCCATTTTGCTTTGTAATCACATTATTTGCTATATTAGTTATATAATGAATGTAATAATATATTATGAATGTTTCGTACTTTTATTTTATTTTGCACAACGATTGTCCCTTTAATGAACTTAATCATAGTTAAAGGTGTCATATTGTGCTACATAACTTACAGAATTTAAAGAACAATATGTGCACAAAGCCCTAGCCGCGCCCATTGCACAGAGTAACTTTAAATTCATACAATCCGCCCATAATATTCTGACTATTACTGTATTGTTCTAATTATTAATGCGAATACAAGAGATAGTTTGAAATTTGCAATATTTAAGAGTCTATATCATCATCATTAGCTCCATAACCCATGGTGGGTCTGCCTCCTCAAGGATAAGTCTCCATTCTCTAAAAATTTTTCGCCTTGGCTTTCTAGTTTTGTACTCAACATTCTCAATATTGTTCTGAAGCTATTTTCTTGTGGCATTGTAAATTAATTACTATTTATAACTGGGAATAAGATATACCAAATAAATGTGAATACATAGCACAATGATTGCCCCATATGTATAACCAAAGAATAGATGGAGTGAGGAGAGGCAGACCCAGAGCACAATTTAAGGATCAGGTGGAGGAAGACTTGAGAATGTTGATTACTATTTATAACTGGGAATAAGCCACAATTAAAGATAAAAATACGTTTATTGACGTTTCAATTTCCAATTCGGAAATCGTTCTCAAAATACAAACAGTAAATTAAACGATTTCCGAATTGGAAATTGAAACGTCAATAAACGTAATTGTGGCTTATTCCCAGTTATAAATAGTAATCAACATTCTCAAGTCTTCCTCCACCTGATCCTTAAATTGTGCTCTGGGTCTGCCTCTCCTCACTCCATCTATTCTTTGGTTATACATATGGGGCATGGGGCAATCATTGTGCTATGTATTCACATTTATTTGGTATATCTTTTCGGTTAAGGAAGCAACAGTAATTGGTAGGAATAAATTATCTATTTTGTCAATTATTCATTGTTGCAGTATCACCTTTCTTGAATTATTTGAATTTCCATTTAAATATCTTTCAACCTTCAATATTGCTTCCACATTTTATCGATCATGTGATCTGCATAGAACAGTAATAAAGAACACTCAAATTGGGAATCATCCATCATTCTAGGTATATCTTACTGTACATGTGACTACTCTGATGTCCTAGTACAGTTCTATGAGCATTATCATCTCCAGTAAAGATGTGCAATATAAAATTCTTCCAGTTGACAATTAACACAGCATAGGATTCATTATCTTCTACCATGAAAAAATTGTTTTAGGAAAAAATTTAGGTCCCATTTTGAGTGCATTTTCAGTTAAGATTAGTTTTTCTCTAAACCCCATTGAAGTTCAACTTTTCCAATTCAAACTTTACATTTGAGCTATATCCAGTTCTTTTTTGAAATCTGTAAAATTATTAAAGACTTCCCGATTGGTTATTGTTGCAACAGGATTTTCAGCAAAAACTGTTATCAACCTTTGATTCTTAATAACAGCCAGATCAGTATTGTTGATTCTGTAAAATTCCATGGTATTTTTATAGACAGCAACCTTAAATTGCCCCTTCATATCAATTTGTTCTCAGCCCACTTATGCAATAAGATCTGTTTTGAAGGAAATCAAAAGACTTCCTTTTTGGGTCTCTATTATATAAAATTTTCTTACTTTTTTTATTGGATTCTATACATTTAGATCTTCGCCAGTCCATGAGGATTACCCAGGTGTTAATCTCTTTGAATAGTTTGTAGGGTTCATGGTTGTATCTGGATCTCAATATTTTGTTACTACCATTTTTACTCAGTTACTAAACCAAGAAATTTTTCCTTCCGATACTTGTAATTTGTTTCTATCCATTATTAGTTAACATTACATATCTGGTTTGCCTTGTATCACCAAAGTATTTTCATGTTTGTCTTATTTCTGTCATTGTTCATTTGTGATGCTGTGTCCGCTCAAATATAGCTCCCCAGAATGACCTCATATACATTAAACAATATGGGTGGCACTACACAGCCTCATCTTAACCCCTCAGTATTTTTATATCTTCAGCTCTTACATGAGTATTTTTTGTATATTATCATTTTTCTATTATTTGTGTCAAGCAAAAGACATTGTTGATACAAGAACTTCCAGCTTTAAAACCTGACTGTTTTCTCTATATTCATGTTCAGTTACTTCATGCAGAATATTTCAATATTATTTAAACAATTTGATTGTGGTATATTTGTAATCTAAGTTCTTCTGCTTTGGTTTGACTGTAAATTCTTATTCGTGTCATGTTGATGTGCCTATTTACTATTCTTTGTTTCACGTTAAGAAAATAACATTACGCTTATGGAGATCAGTGTTGCCAAAACTCTCAGACACTCTCTTTTGCACGGATGTCCAAGATATTCCCTTTGCTTAATTTTTGAATTTTCATTTTCAATTAATATTTAACTGTAAAGTCAGAATAACTACTAAATAAAAGTCTTATTATCATTATGTAGTCAGAGACGACATAAAATAGCTGACATACGCACATCGTATTATTTTAAGTTGCAATTAGTAATTAGATATACGCATTCCAAGCGGTCAATATTTTCTACTGATTTCTATGATTCATGGCATATCGTATTCTCACCGAAAAACAAATAAACTGTCGTTACTATAATTAAAATAAGATAAAATAAAATTATCTTTTGTAAATACTATTTATCTAATTAAAATCATTTTCCCTACTTTTCATCTCTTGTTTCGAATGGGCACTTTTGGTCAATTACGTTAAAAAACATTAATTTAATTCATGTTTGTGGAAACGAAAATACAAATTATACAAACCTAAATTGTGCTTGTGTGTCGTGGCACCGCCGTGTTGCTATCGTCCATAAGAAATACATGGCCGTATCTCCGCAATGTTATTTTCTAAACGTGAAACGTAGTATAGCATATTTTACTTCTATACTATAAAACTTCTATAAAATTATAGGGTATTTTATTGTTATACTTTTTTACAGGACTTATCCACAAAGCGGTGAAGATTACCAGGCTCGTTCCAATGGTTTCTCCAATTTCAAAAGCGGAGGAAACAACGGAGGAGGAGGAGGTTACAACAACAGAAATGGCGGTGGTAGCTATAATAAACCAGGAGGTGGATTTAATAACGGCAGATTTAATAATAAGTCTTTCGGGGATAATAGTTACAATAATCGCAACGGGGGCGGGTATCAAAACAATTTCAACAGGAACAATCAAGCATATACCGGCAACGGGGGGTTGAGACAAGTAGAATGGGCTAACAAAAAGTTACGTCCAGTGGAGAAACACTACTATGTTCCCCATCCTTCTGTGGCAAGCCGTACTCCCTTTGAGGTTGAGCAGTTTCGCAAAGCAAAAGAAATTACTGTCGAAGGGGAAGCACCTAACCCTATTCAGAACTTCGACGAAGCAAATTTCCCTGATTACATTCTAACAGAAGTTTGCAACAAGGGATATGAAGCTCCTACACCAATTCAAGCACAAGGCTGGCCAATTGCAATGAGTGGTCATGATATGGTTGGTATAGCACAAACAGGATCTGGAAAAACTTTAGCCTACATCCTACCTGCTGCAATTCACATCAATAACCAACCACCTCTAAATAAAGGAGAAGGACCAATCGTGTTGGTTCTTGCTCCTACTAGAGAACTGGCTCAACAGATTCAAGAGGTTTCCAACGATTTTGGCCGGTCTACTAACATCCGTAACTCTTGTATCTTTGGAGGTGCTCCCAAAGGGCCCCAAGCTCGCGACCTACAAAGGGGTATTGAGATTTGCATTGCCACGCCCGGCCGTCTTATAGATTTTCTCGAAAAAGGAGCTACTAACCTAGAGAGATGCACATATTTGGTTCTTGACGAAGCTGACAGAATGTTAGATATGGGATTCGAACCACAAATTCGCAAGATTCTCAGTCAGGTCAGACCCGACAGACAAACACTTATGTGGTCTGCTACATGGCCCAAAGAGGTTAGGAAATTGGCTTCTGACTTTATGAAGAACCCCGTTTACATCAACATAGGTTCAAAGAACTTATCTGCCAATAACAATATTGTACAGTTCGTTGATGTCTGCCAGGAGCATGAAAAGGAAAGGAAGTAAGTTGACTTTTATTTTTATTTCTTTTTTGATATTTATTCCAGATGGATCTTGTTTAAGGTTGGTTGTAGTAAGTTGGACCTTTGATGTTTGCAGAAACGTCTCTTGAATATTAGAAATAGTTGTCTTTATATATATAATAGTTTCTTTCAAGCAATATTCATGTTGATATCATTTATTCGAATATTTATTTTTAATGACTGCAAAAAAATTTCATCGAAGTACCAACTCTTGAAAGAAAATAACAAATTTTATTAACAGTCTCATTTAGATTCAGATAACAGCTCCCAGTCTCCCTGCAGGTTAGCTTGAAGGTATTCTTCCATTTGTATGGTTCAAAATGTATGAGCAACTGTTGAACAGACTTTATATATTTATTTATCAGTCAGTTTCTATTTTGATGGTGTAAGTCAGTTTATTAAAGAATTTAATACATTCATATTCTGTGGTTTTCTCAAATGCTGTTAATCTATGTATTAGTATATTATAGTTTGAGATTGTTTCATGTATTAGTATTATGGTTTATGTGTTTCAAGAATTTATCTATTTTTAAAAATGAGAAAAGTATTCAATGTATGTTCCAGCCATTGTTAGTATGTTTAGCTTTTTGAAATCACCTCTACACGAATCTCTGTATTTCAAGTTAAGTAGAGTTCTGATTGCTCTTTTTTGTAATATAAAAACCTGTTCAGCGTTACTACTCTCCCCCAGAAAACTATATCAAATCACATTACAGAATGAAAATTTGAAAAATATATAACTCTTACATTTTTCGTCCAAATAATTTGCTGTTATTCTGAAAGAGTAGCAGATAGATGTTAACCTGTTACAGATCTCATTTTTATGTGCAAGATCTAAATTTTGGTCAATATGTAACCCTAGAAATTTTGTACCTTGGTTTAGAGTAACCATTTGCGATTGAATTAAGACAGTTTCTGGTAAGGTACTATTATTTGTTTTTTTTTTCTCTGTTCAGTATGAATATTCATATTCAGACATCTCTGTGCTTTATCTAATCTATTATTAGATAGATATACTTTTCCCAGATATAAAATTTTCTGAACTCTTCAGTAACGATTTTTCGAAATTCGTACTATAACCAACTTTAAACAAAAGTAAATTTATTCACATGATGAGATGCATAAATGAAATAATCTGTGATTATTCTTTTCGCACCCCCTACCTCTAAGAAGACCTGACTAATTTCAAAAATAATGATTTTGTCACTTCTATGACTGTTCTGCATATTAAGTTTAAATTTTTTTTTCTAGGTTGGGAAGTCTCTTGCAAGAGATTAACAGCAATGCTGACTCTGGCTCGAAAATTATAATTTTCGTAGAGACCAAGAAGAAAGTTGAAGGAATAACAAGATCAATAAGAAGTGTTGGTTGGTCAGCATTGTCTATGCATGGAGATAAGAGCCAGCAGGAACGAGACTATGTCCTAAGGGAATTTAGAACTGGAAAATCTAGTATTTTGGTAGCTACTGATGTAGCAGCCAGGGGGTTAGGTGAGTTTCCCACCTGAACAGTGGGGATTTGTTAAAAAATCGGTTTGTTGGGAATTATACCATGTTCATTTGTGATAAAAAAAGTATTGAAAGTTAAGTTTGGTATAGTAGCACTACAAATTTGGGGATTTCAGACTGGTTTATGTATTTTAATTGAATTTTAATAAGTAATTGGTTGGGGGATTTTTGTTATTAAATTTCAAATTATTGGGGGGAGATTTAGTACAACTTGCTAATAAAAGTCAACTAATTGGCTTTTTGTATTAAAAACTAATTTTAACAGTGGTACACTACATGTGGAATGTATTTGCCAACGTTATATGTTGGTAGAATTGTGTAATTTTTGTATAATTGTATTTATCAGTCTGGGCGCCCTTTTTTCTTTTTCAGAGGCACGTGCACGATGATGTTGTTGTAAACCTTTTTTGCGTACAGTGAAATTAGAAATGCAATTCTGTTTTCATGCGGGTGCCTCTTTACACAGGCTGTCTCGCCCTAACAGGACGGTTCAGCTAGGAAAATATTAAGAAGACCTTTGGAAGATTTTAGTATACTTAATATGGCACTTGTTTTAACAATTAACCAAAACTGATCACCAAGAAGTGTATATTCACAATTCCTATTAATTTTTAATGGTTGAAACAACTAATATTGGTTAAATTTCATCACTAAAATGTTTTAAAGAATTGGGACAATTTTGTTCTCTTTATGCTACTACTTTCTTTCAACTATTCAGATTATCTAAATTTTCTCATGTTTTGAACTAATTTAAAATTTTCTTGCATTTTTTTTGTATGCATCGAAAGTTTTGTTCATATTTTTATCAATTATAAAACTTTTTTCATGTTTTTATGAATTATAAAACTTTTTTTCATGTTTTTATCAATTATAAAACTTTTTTTCATGTTTTTATCAATTATAAAACTTTTTTTCATGATTTTATCAATTATTATAAAACTTTTTGTTTTTCTATAAAACACCACCTTGTTAATTTTTCTCCAAGTATCTTACAATTTTTAAAAACATTTGGTAGATTCAGCTTCTGGTGATCATATCCTTTTCACCTTTCCCACCCCCCACAACCTTCCTTTCTATGCTCAAGAAAACCTAGGTTTCTACGACGTGGGATTTTTGTGCACTTGAATATAAAACATATGTCATTTTTTTGTCTTCCCATTGGTCATTTACTGCGATGTTTGAGTAGACCAAAAAATTGCCTTAAGGTAGGAGAAGGTCAACTGAAGCAAGCAGGATAATATTTTTGCTACTATTCCTTTAAATCGTTTATTCACTCAGATCACAACTCATGGATTTTCCTTTGAAACTGGTTAGTATATTTTTAGTTATGTTTTCTTTTATTTTTTAATTATTATGTTAATACTTTAAGAAAACATAAGTGTTCGAATTTGTTGGATCTATATAGATTAAACAATCAAATTCATGGACATCTTGAACACTAGCAGTTCGCACTACTATTTTTAACAGTATATAAAGATATCTAATTGTGATAATATTTTGTTTGTAAATAAGATTCTTTTTATAACTATTTAAATGAAACATAGTGTGTAACATCTAGTTCAATTTTTAATAGGCATGAATAAGAATTCCTTCGTAATTTTTACAGCAAATTTTTTATAGTAAAATTAATGGAATAAGTATAAAATGTTTGACTATCAAAAGCAGTTCTTACTCGTGTTCATAGGCTACAAGACAATTAGTCAATCTGAAGAACCTTCACAGTCTACAATGGAAAGTACTTTACAAAATTACTATTAATTCTTTGTTTGAATAAAAATTCTTCAGGTTGGCTAGTATTTGACCGATTTCTAATATGTCTTTTCTTATTTAGATGTTGAGGGTATAAAATATGTTGTAAATTACGATTATCCTCACTCCTCAGAAGATTACATTCACAGAATCGGTAGAACTGGTCGTTCAGATTCTGCCGGTACATCATATGCATTTTTCACACCTTCCAACTACAAACAAGCTAGAGATCTGATCTCCGTACTGAACGAAACTAACCAGGTAAGATTTTTTTCTATGTATATAAGTATATACACTCTCAGATGCAAAAAAGCAACTAAAAAATCATCAAAATATTTATTTATTTTCAACGGGCTGCTGCCCAAAATTAATCGTCTGTCATACAATGAGAGAATACCAAGTTTGGTTTCAATTTATCATAATTTGATTTAATGCAAAAGGTATACCCTGTTTATATGCTACATATTTCAAGAAGTTGTGTGGGACTGACTGTCTCAATTTTTGATATGTAAATATTATTAAGGTGGAGACCATACACAAGAACAACTAGATGGGGACTGACTAGAGAACAATATAGTAATTTAATTGCTTCAATATTCTGAAAGTCTCTGCACATCGTATTATTTTAAGTTGCAATAATTAGATATACACATTCCAAGCGGTCAATATTTTCTACTGATTTATATGATTCATGGCATATCGTATTCTCACCGAAAAACAAATAAACTGTCGTTACTATAATTAAAATAAGATAAAATAAAATTATCTTTTGTAAATACTATTTATCTAATTAAAATCATTTTCCCTACTTTTCATCTCTTGTTTCGAATGGGCACTTTTGGTCAATTACGTTAAAAAACATTAATTTAATTCATGTTTGTGGAAACGAAAATACAAATTATACAACCCTAAATTGTGCTTGTGTGTGTCGTGGCAACGCCGCGTTGCTATCGTCCATAAGAAATACATGGCCCTATCTTCGCAATGTTATTTTCTAAACGTGGAACGTAGTATAGTGAGTCTTTGTCAAGCATTTATATGACTTGAAATTATTTTTATGTAGTTCAAATAAGGTTTAGTCCCAGATCACGAATTTTGGTAACCCAGTCAACAAGAAAGTTCTGTATATTATAATTATATTAACAATGTACAGTTGGCCCTCAACTGAGAAAAGTGTGATAATCCAAAAGTGATTTAAATAGATATTTTGTGTGCCTTCTTTTTCTCAACTATCAGATCTTCAACTCTGTTGAGAACCAAGAAAGAAATCTATGGTTTAATAACTTTTAGAGGAGGATAAATAATTCTATAGCTAAGTAAACTGTATCATAAAAAATATTACAATTTGATTCAGTGATTTTCCTCAAAAATAAATTATTGCAACAAAACCGTGATAAAAAAAATTCAGTTATTTTTCACATAGTCAGCCGACTTAATATTATTGGGACACCTTTTAATCACCTTCCCTCGAGCCCTGGACACATTTACATCAGCATCATCAACCAACACCATTCACAGTTTGATAAATTCAGATAATAGTGTGCAGATGGATAAACTTCAGCTATATGTTCTAAGGTTTCACAAAATATGAATATTTCTCAAATGTAGACTTTGGTGGAAATATGCTATTCCTATAATAAACTGATTGCACCTTAAGTTGCAAGTTGTTCGTTTGTCTGATCAACTGTTAAAGCTCTTATGAACTGCAAATTTGACCAAAATTTTTTGCATCTGAGTGTACATCACTTTCTGTTTATAAATTTTAACTGCTATATATTTGGGTTATACCTTCCATTTTGGCATGCCTTAGCTGAGACTGACGGTTAAGCATGAGTGCTTATGGAAAGGAAAATTAATATGGGAAATATGCCTTCGGTGTTCACACATTAACTGTCTGGATCCCATCCTCAAGTTTCCCTACAAAACTTTGATATTTATCATTTTCAAACTTTTATTTGTACTGAATTAATTACTGAAGCTAATTTCATGTTTTTATAGGTGGTAAATCCAAAATTGAGCGAAATCGCCGGAAAAACAAACAGCTTTGGCAAAGGCAATTCGCGTTGGGGAAACGGGAGGTTTCAATAAAAGGTTTAACAACCAAGGAGGCGGCAGCTATAGGAAATTTGGTGCCACAAATAATTACTCAAACGGATCAACAGGATACTCAAATGGGTTCAATAATGGCAATGGTAAGTAGATCAATTTTTGAATATTTAAATTAATATCTATAAACTTGAAAAATTTGTTTATAATTCCTTCCATTTTGGCATGCCTTAGCTGAGACTGACGGTTAAGCATGAGTGCTTATGGAAAGGAAAATTAATATGGGAAATATGCCTTCGGTGTCCACACATTAACTGTCTGGATCCCATCCTCAAGTTTCCCTACAATTTGTTTACAATACCAGATATCATATTGAAAGGACACAAATTTTTTTAATAAGTGGTTATTTGAATATGATAAAATTCCTAATAATGCATTATGATTATATGAATAAAAAAAAAGCAGAAATATGGCTTTTAAATAAACTTTTTGTTTTGAATTTTTTTTTCTGACATTTCCTCTGCAACTGCAATGGACATTACCAAAGGTATTCACTGTAGATAACTTCTCAGTGGGCGAAAGACATTGTAGTCATAATAGATTGTGTTTGGTATCTGTCACAGTAGTGGATGAAATTCTGGAAAGAAATTATTGGGAGATTGTTGCCCATAAAACTGAAATATGTCATATAAAACACTACTTATTTTGAATTCTGCACACACCAATACTTATTTTTTTGTTGCAGGTTATTGAGATTTGAGCGAACGAGAAGGTGGTATATAGGTTTTAGATATTTATCAGTATTTCTCAAGTGCATAAATGTGCTGCACGTTTTCCAGTTTTTATTTTTATAGATTGACATGTAATATTTAAAGCAGTTTTACTACGACACAGCATATTACCAGTAAAATATCTTACTTGTTCTAGTAGTGAAGTGAATTATATTATTTTTTTCTTGTTTTATTGGTAGAATTCTTTGTTTAGGTAAAGAACTTGAATCATAAATGTGATTTGTTTATCTAAGACTTTGTCCTACACAAATTGTAAGTTTTTGTGGTTGTAACGCTGTGATATAAATATTTATTTCTCTAGGTTTACGTATATCTTTTCTCTCTGTGCATAATGCACCCATATATAAAGGATTAAATAAAGGTTTAAACCCATCTTGTTGTTTTATTTATACAAAATTTCTATGCAGGAACGCTAACATATGACTTAATAACTAAAAATGAGACTACTCTACAGGAAAGTGTAACAGAAGCAGCTGATGCAGGAAATATGGAAACGTGAAAGAATTCATTTGAAGAGTTGTTAGTAAATACTGTGAACTAATGTGACTATGTGAAAAACGATGTTCAAAATATGAAACCAAAAACAGAAAAACCCAAAACTGTTGTGAAAAAGGCTAAATATTATTCCTGTAGCAGTCTACTTCTCTACAATTTTTTTGTGATATATAGCCTGGGGTTGATAAGATTTCTGCTTTTGTTTTTTAGCTGGCATTAAATCTGATCTTTGGTGATACTGTAATTTGAGGTAGAAGATGTAATGTTGATCTATATAGTTCTGCAGAACTCTGATACTGCCTTTACTAAAATTAAAACCCATATGTCTTTAAATAATTTTGTTTCAAAAGATTTTGTTTCCATGACTTTCATATGAACTACTTTTTTTCAAAGCTGTATATTTGATGATTGTTTGCCTTAAACAGTTTTGTGATCAGTTCTTCCTTACTATCTACTTTTGCCACTTATGGAGTGACCAGGATTTTCCTTGATTGCACAAGATATTTGATTTTGGATTTCTTCGTTTGGGTGACTTATAGGGTCTATCGTACCCTTTATGTACTACAAACAGATTCAGCAGATGGCTAATTAGGCTTACGGTTCTATAATATTCACAAACTTTTGCTCCTGGTTTTTTGGACAATGATATGAACTCAGATTTGAGCCACTCCACTGGTATGTTTCTTGCCTTGTATATTTCATTAAATGTTTAAATTACTTTTATTTGTTCTTCATCTAATAGCTTCAACAGTTTTACAGGAATTTCATTGAGTCTCGGTGCCTTTCCATCCTTCATTTGTCTGACGGCTGCCGTTATTTCTTCTGATAGGATTTCGGGACCTGAATTTTCTTCAATAGTGTGCTCTTGTATAGTTCTAAGGTCATGGAAAAGCTTCTCAAAGTGTTCTTCCCATACTCCAGCTATTTCCTTCACCGGTCGATAAACATTGAAGTTATCATATCGACTTTGATACTCTTTTATTTCTTGACATTTTTCTGTTTTTTGGCTTCTCTTATTTTTTTTTCTAATGATGGTATGTATTCTCTTATTATTATTAGACATTTTCTTTGTTTTTTTGTTAGTTCTGATTAGTTCAAGTATTTCATCGGTCATCCACGATTTCACGTTTCTCTGTATCTTCGGGTGGTGTTCTTTTATTTTTCTCACTGTTTCTTGGATGATGGTCAGACTTTCCTGCATTTTAGCACCTTTGTCTTGTGGTTTTCACTCACCTTCAGTCGAACATTGGGATTTTTCAGATTTGTAACATATTTCTTTATCGATTTACTTGTAAGCTCCTTCATTCTGACTTTGAAATTACCTACAACTGGTACATGATCGGAATTTATGTTTTGACAGATGTACTGCTGTTCCTATTCCTCTTATTTACTAGCATTTATCAATCTGATTTCTTACAATCCTTCCACAGAGTCCTGTGGAGATTTCCAGGTGTACAGTTTCCTTGGGTGTAGCTTAAACCAGGTGTTCATTATTACCAATTGATTTGCTTCCGCAAAAACTTATCTCCCCGATCGTTGAGGTTTGGCGCACTTTGAATAGGGTTGGTTTACAGTGGTCGGTTTTTTGGATACACCTTTTGTGCCTTGCATGTTGGTGAGAATCAGATTTTTACATCTGGTTTAAATCTATTCCATATACTTGTTGGGGAGAATCGGGAGGAAAAAAGTGTGTAAATGTGAATTTTATTAGAACTAACTAGGACTAGAGTGGAAAAGCAGTGTTCTTTGTGTCTCAACTTTATCTCATTCACAGTACATAGCCCTCTAGTAAGGTAAGTCCTATAGAAAGATTTGGCAGAGAGTTTCTAGCGCTAAATGCGGACGGGCCGAAACTAATTTCATTTGACGCAAATTTAAAACAGGTTCTAAATTTTAGGGATTCAGGACAAATTCAAATAATATGCTCTGAAAAATATAGTCATATGATAAGAAATAAAAATTATTCTATGACAAAAAAATATATTCTCTCTGTCCAAAAATATAGTATACACTTACGCATTTTATACATATATAAATATTACATAATGTCGGATGGAGTATTATTATGGTACAGGAAAGTTTTTACTTTATGGCCATATCTGTTTCCCATTACATTAACAAACCAAAGTCCCGAAAACAACAAAATAAAACAGATATCTTGACACTTGTTTATTTGTATAATTTTCTTTGGTAAATCATTGGCAACAAATATCCTTCTGAGGTTATGGGTAGAGACACATCTCCATTGGCTGAGATCCTGTACCAGATGGACAACTTCATGTAGGGATTTTTCTACCAATCTCCATTGAATCTTCCCATTGTGTTGGAGATCTTCAATCATATAATATAGATGCCTCTATATTTATTGGTACTGGTTTGTTATAAGTTCCATACCTTCTAAAATACTCTTCTTTAGATGACCATATGTAGATAATAAAGTGTAAACTCTAGCATTTCTGCGATCTTGCTCTTTAGGATTATCACAAATTCGTACAATATGAAACTATTGCTTGGAACTAGAAAGTGTTTTAATGATTTTAAAATACATTTATACCTATAATATATAAATGATCCATGTTGGTTAAGATTTAAAGGTAATTTACCTACGGAAGCGGGTAAATAGTACAAGTTTGGTATAATATAATTATAGGTGCTGTTATTACGCCAGGTGCTTGTAAAATAAACTCCTTATCCTCCGAATGTTAATAACCCTTCGTCCAACTTTAACTACCTTTCGCCCATCGACAAAAATTTAGCAATATTTATTAGATATATAAAAATTGATGTACATTGTTTTTATCTATTTCTAAAATTTGGGATACAATGTTCAATGCTTTTATGAGGCCATTTGCATTTCATATTTCATTTGAAAAGGCGTGGATTACAATGTTGCCACTTACGCACTTACACAATTTTATTTTCGGTGGATACTCAAAATTCTTTAGAAACAAGTTATTGTAAATTTAAGTGGTGATTTTATTAGAATTTGATATAATCTTTGTTTTTTGAAAAACATTGCATAGTGTAAAGAATTATTATTTGAATAAATGAGCAAAACTAGTGAAACCATGGCAACAGCACTTACATCAACGTCATACGTCTCTTGCTATGTCATACCCCATCTAACGTGACTAGTAGCGCCGTGACATTACGAACGGCTGGACCCGTACAATTCTCTCTCCCAACCTTTCCTAGTCCACTTACACTACTATTTGTGCTATATACTGTGCACTGTGCAAACAAAATGTATTATCGTATCGTGACAAGGGCAAGATAGAATCGGATTATTTCAATTATTGTAAACTGTTCCTAGTAGTACAAGATCCCACAGTAGGATCACCTACATTCGTAACGTAGTGCATCAATCTTACATTTTTACATACATTTAAAATTAGAATACATTGATAATAGGTTGCCAGTCAAAAAGTGACCCTAAATATTTTCAATTCAATTAATAGTAATTCGTTTTTGACAAATATTTTATTTCGTTTATTTATTTTTTAAGTACGCTGTTTATTGCGTCTATGCATGTTTTTTTTATATTAAATTAAAGCTAATTTTTTATTAACAGTTCTTGGCTCTAAAACACGTGAAGATGATTGTATGGTTGCATACATTAACACACAGTCTTAATAAAAACTCTTATTAACAGTATTAATACAATGTAATTTTGTTTTCAATTAACCGCATGGACTGCTAATGTGATTATCGAGAAATTTTAATCTATATATTTTTAAAAAATGAATTAAAAAATCCTTTATACATGAAATTACCATCTTTAATAAAAAACATTATAGAACTGAGAAAATGAACGCAACCGTCCACGCATCCTATGTACTCTGTTTAGCTTATTAAAACGCGAGTTGTCTCTGTCTGAAAGTTTTATTACGCAGTTGACTCAGATCGACGCAATCGTTGCAAATGTTCTTTAGAAGATTCGACATTGGCAGTGAGACGGCAATCATCTGCTATTGTGAATATAATTTTAAGTTTTTCTTTTGTAATCAACATTATTTAGTGAGTATTGTGCTGGTTTATAATCTGATCCTTAATAAATTTATTTCTTTTTGAATTTTCAGTTAATTAAAGTAATCCACTGAATATATGAACAATATATTGACGCCAGTAAAATTTACAGGAAGTCAACCAAGAGTATCTAGAATATTCGTTGATAAGTAGAAGCGATCGAAGTTATTCAAAATGTAAGTTTTATTTGTGAAAGTGTTAAGTTTCTGAATTTTGACATATTTTCTTCGATTTTTATGTTAAGTTTTTGTTAATATGTACATAATAAAAAATGGCTACCGACATTTTGGTCAAATCTATCGTGTTTGTTAATACATATTAACTATACGAATATTGATTAGTTTCAAATAACACGATTCATAGCTATTAAAATTATGATGAATAGAGTAACTTGACTATTGGTTGTTATGTTAACTATATGTATGATCGATTTTCTTAGAATATGACTAATGTATCATAGTTTTTATTAAAAATGCAATCAAAATAGCTATAATTTTTTCTTATTTTGAGCTCTATTATTAGAAAATTTGGGTTTATTTATATGGATTTTGTTCAATCGAAACAAAAAGGTTTGTGCCGTTGGTAGCTAGATACATGAGGTTGAAACTGATAAACTTAATTTTCCTCCCTATATCTTCATTTGACACATAAGTACAGTGTCCAAATATCCAGTTGTATATTCTGCATTCTGTAATTTTTATCAAGTATTATTTAATTTGGGTACTTCCAGGAATATTTGTTTACAATTCTTAACTAACATATGGACAACTCTTTACTAATCTGTTATGATGTAACCCAAGTTTTGATTTCATCATGTCTTTCAAAAGTCAACAGTTTTGGATGTCTAATAGAATTCACTACTTTTCCTTCTTGGGCATTTTCATTATTTCTCATTGACATTTGTATTGGTGTATATTGGGATGTTAGTCCAGTCACTATTTAAATGGGAAATAAGCCACAATAAGTAGGTTATTGATGTTTCAATTTCCACTTCGGAAATAATTCTCAATTTCTGAAGTGGAGATTGAAACGTCAATAAACTACTTTAACCTTTAATTGTGGCTTATTTCCCATTTAAATAGTAATTACTTTAAAATGTCACAAGAAAATAGCTTCAGAACAATGTTACTCCAGTCTTACAAAAATGGTCTAAATTGATCGTAGTCTGTAGTCAGTCAAATGTTGGATTTTAAGAAATGTACGTAGAAGGTGGTTTTAACTAGAATTTGAACATGCTCCAGATATATTCGTATTTGGAAATGTTTGATATAAGGTTGAAAAATAGGGACACCTAACATCGATTTTAGGTTCTAAATATTTCCTTTGATTTTCTAGAAGCTTCTGGAATTCCTTTTTATGGAATTATATCAATGAAATAGCGGTTTTCACATCGATTCTCTATTCATCAATTTATTATTAATCATCATAAGGTCTATTCAGGTTTAAATTAAAAACTGATAGAATTGAATGAATTTCTCGAAATGTTCTGTAATAATTAATTAGCAGAAACTTCTTTTTTCTCTCTTAAAGGTCATCTTTTAACAGACAAGGAGGCGGTGGTAGCACATTCAGAAGCCGTGAAAATCTCTCAAATGGAGGAGGTAGCGATAGATTTGGCGGTGGTCGTAGCGGCGGCGGAGGTGGGGGAGGTTTCAAAGGCGGCAGTGGTGGATACCGCGGGAATGATAGTGGCGGCGGCGGTTTCAGAAGTGGCGGAGGAGGTGGCCGAGGTGGCGGCGGAGGATTCAGAAGTGGCGGCGGTGGGGGAGGTGGATTTAGAAGTGGCGGCGGCGGTGGGGGAGGAGGTCGTTTTGGCGGCAGAGGAGGAAGTGGTGGTGGTAGAGGGCCTCAGGGTAACCGCCTCTACAGACCACAATGGGACAATATCCAACTACGTCCATTTAAGAAAGATTTTTATGTTCCTCATCCAGCAGTAGCCAATAGATCACATTATGAAGTAGAACAATACCGCCGAGCCAAAGAAATTACAATAGAAGGTAAAGTTCCAAATCCCATACAACATTTTGAGGAAGCCTCCTTTCCTGATTATGTAATGAAGGAAATCAGCAAACAAGGCTATGAATATCCTACTCCAATCCAAGCTCAAGGTTGGCCCATAGCTTTGAGTGGATTAGATTTAGTTGGAATTGCCCAAACTGGTTCTGGCAAAACTCTTGCTTATATTCTTCCAGCTATAGTACATATTAATAACCAACCAGCTATATCTAGTGGAGATGGACCCATAGCACTAGTTCTAGCTCCAACAAGAGAATTAGCTCAACAGATCCAACAAGTCGCCAGTGATTTTGGAAGTACCACATACGTTAGAAATACCTGCATTTTTGGAGGAGCCCCCAAAGGACCACAAGCACGTGATTTAGAAAGAGGAGTTGAAATTTGTATAGCCACTCCAGGTCGTTTAATTGATTTCCTTGAAAAAGGAACCACAAACCTTGAGAGATGTACCTACTTGGTACTTGATGAAGCTGACAGAATGTTGGACATGGGTTTTGAGCCTCAAATTCGTAAAATTTTGGAGCAGATCCGGCCTGACAGGCAGACTTTGATGTGGTCTGCAACATGGCCCAAGGAGGTCAAAAAATTAGCTGCGGATTTCCTGAAAGACTACGTCCAGATCAACATTGGATCTCTACAGCTCTCTGCCAACCACAATATTCTTCAGATCGTAGATGTTTGCCAGGAGTATGAGAAGGAATTTAAGTAAGTGTACAATTCATATTCTATTTATTCTAGGAAACAGTTTTCCTAATAATAATAGAAGATTTTTATCAAAAATATTTTTTAAATTTGTTTTTGAAAATATTTATTTCAGTATATTCAAATTTGAAGTTCTAGGAAGTTAAAAATATGTGAGAAGCCAAAGGTGTTCAGTATTTATTTTATCTCCAGTCCTATTTTTCTTTTAGATACATGCAATTTTTGTTTTTTCTTTATTCATTTTATTTTTATATAAAGACAAACTTCCAAGTATATGGGATGTCCCAAAAATCTTAAACACTATTTTGGATTGTGAAATATAACTGTTAGGTGTGTATTGTACATGGTAAACAATATGTGTTGTTTTTTAGCTGTAAATTCAAATCCATTAAAAAAAAATTGTATATTGTTCATCCTTTACGCCCTTTACACCCTTTACCATGGCGCTCCCTAACAGGTCTCATTTGGAACTCCAAAATATTGTCTAAAAAGTTTTCTTGATTGTCTTAGTTACATAGGACCGGCGACTACGAACTGCCCCACGCTACCTACGTACTTAGATAATATTTTTGTGAACATAATATAGTTTTTATTTTACTTTCTTATATTCAAAAAGGAACCCAATTCCCAAAGCATTAGCGAAAATTTTAAATGATTTAATAATAGCACTATAACAATAGAAGTAATCGAATAAAGTTTATTTATAAATCTACATTAACTTATATACAATAACAAAAACTACAGTTAAACAATAACAATGCTTAATTCTAATGTCAGACTAGTGATTCAAATTAGTAAGAGTGAACACTTTATTTTAGATTTTAAAAGTTAGCTGCATAATAATTGCAAACTGACTTAATGAAGTCCAATTTACGACGTCGTAGTAATGTTTTGATTAACATAATATTCATTTAGCCTATTTTCAGTAAAATCAACTTTTCCTTTTGCCGTTTTATCAAGTTTTTTTTCGAATCTATGTGCAGTTCTAATTTTCACATATACTTTTGCTTGAAAATTTAACAAAATGTGTGTAAATTTAAATATGTTACGATGTGATTTATAAAAACATTCGTTAAATTTCGAGTGAAATGATTCACATGCGTTTGTAGTAAATATAAGAGATGATGAATTTGAAGCCCATATGTAAGGTGGAAATGTTGAATCTTCCGTTAAATAATTATCAACTAGGTAATCACAAAATTGCAAAACTCTGTCATCTTCTGGCATAATATTAAAAAGTTCATCAGAAAAAAAGTCACCAACATCATTTGGATGTAAATAAGGAATGCCGAAAAACAATTTTAAATATTTTCTAATAACAGTTTGATTTTTATATTCCGAGGACAAACCTAAATTTTGAATTTTTCGGTACCAATTTTGTGTTAAATGAAATTTGCAACAAAAAATAATAATGTCGGGCCAAACTAACTTGGCTGCATTTTGAATTGATATTTCAAAATCAGAAATTATTCGCTTAGGTTTGAAATTTAAATTCAAATCTATACATATTGTTATTAATGTATCAAGAGTACTTTTGTACGATTGCTGTGATTTATTTGGTAACAAACAAAATACTAGAGAAACATAAAAACCATTTTTGTAGCCATGTATAGTAAACATCTGACAAAAATATTTAGAACAGTATTGAAAAGTTCCATCTACATACAAAGAATCTACATTACACAAAGAGTAAAGATTTGTGAAACAACTAAAAATTGCGGAATTATTTTTCGTAGATAATAAAAAGTTTTCACCTGTATTTGTTTTTAAATTTAAGTTCACTAACACTTGTAGAACTTCCTCCTGTGACTTGGGCAATGATGGTGTGGATTTTCGTCTTGTAGCATAGATGTTTCTTCGAACGCAAGAAATGTCTTTCGTCGTCAGCGGTAAATTGCCGAATTTTTCCTTTCTCAATTCCTTGTGGACAATCTTAAAAGGTTTTTCACATATATCTTTTACAGTTTTTCTCTTTGTAGAATTACTAAAAATTTGCCGGTCTACGTGGATATCTGTATATCTATATAACATAATTTTCATCACCTTCCTTTGCGTACACTTTTTGTTGACAGCCTTTTTGATGCATCGCCATCTAACTTTTCCATTTTTGAGACATGGGCTTTTGAATATTTATATTCATTAATTATTAATAACAGTTCTCCCCTTTGACTAAACATAGTCATTGGATTCGCCATTTAAATGTTAAACACAAAACTATACCGTAATACTTGCAACCGAAGTGAATAACTGAAAATATTTATATTCTTACTTTCAACTATGATCAAATTTGGAATTTCCGGTCATTAAGACTTAATCCCCAACTTTCTCGGCGATGGGGCAGTAGGTACTTCGGATTAAAGGCCCCAGGTAGTTCGTGGGGCAGTTCGTAGTCGCCCCACAGCACTCATTTTTTTTATTAGTATTAAAGAGTTACGATTGTCAAAGATGTTCAGATTTAATTTCAGGCAATATTAATAAGAAAATCTCAATTGATTTCAATATTCTATTGCGTATTTCTATATTTTGTGGATGCCTGAATGAAAAAAAAGTAATTGCAAGCTTAAGAAATGTTGCTGATATAAAATCTTGCCAAAACTGGAGAGCAGAGACAGATTTGAGTTGCTTTTATCAAGTTTCAATCAAGCTGTCATTATGTTCAGTTGTATTTAATTATCAGTTGCACATATTAGAGCTAAGTAAATGAACCTATTATTTTCTTGGTGTCGGAATTGTGCAAAAGTAAAGTGAGGCTTTTGTTGACTGTTTTTGTAATATTTTACATAATCTGAACACAAGTTTCCACATTCTTTTTCACATTATTTGATGTATTTTCGTGATAAATTGTATCAATATCCTGTAGGATCTCATCAATATCCTGCAGTATGAGAGTAATGAGTTGTGCCGTAGATTTGTGTAGAAATGTCAGATCAGTTATTTATATTTGAAAAAGTAGCAGAAAATTCAGGACAGATGAAAAATTCATGTTATACATCACTATTCAACTAAATTCATTATAGTATAACCTATTTTGGAACTGATCCTGCCTGGACTATTGTCTAATAACAAATATTTTGTTCTGTTCTTACAGGCTGAACCAACTTCTCCAGGAAATAGCAAACAACAGTGATCCCGATTCCAAAGTTCTAATTTTCGTTGAAACCAAAAAGAAAGCCGAAGCTGTGACTAGAACAGTAAGAAGAAGTGGCTTACCAGCTGTTTGCATGCATGGAGACAAGAGCCAACAAGAGAGAGACTTTGTACTCAATGAGTTCAGAAACGGAAAATCCACCATTTTAGTGGCTACAGACGTGGCTGCTAGAGGATTAGGTAAGTGTTACATGCTAGATTAACTCTTCTTTGGAATCAAACCATGTTATGTTTTGAAATATTCTAAAAATAGGTACTGCTGACTATAGTAGCATTTTGCGGGGTTCTCCAGACTGGTTTGGTTGGTTTTTGTTAATGTTTTCTCCATTATTTATGCATTTTATTTAATGAATTTTACAGAAAATAAAGATATGCTCACATTCTTTGTCGAATTGTAAGAGAGTTTTAAATAATCCGTAAGTTTCAGTTGATGCTATTCTCAAAAAAAAGTCATTTCGGTTTTGATAACCGGGGAGTCAATAATTCGGTGTTCTTTTTTAATTTCCTGTATTTATGCTCATTTCAGCTTATTTTCAAATTACAAATTGTCTGAAGGGACAGAAAATCTAACAAATGAGCCTTCAAAAGGCAGACTGCGTTTTTGTTTGAACTACAATTGGTTCTTTGTTTGCATTATGACATGCATTATGTTTCTACCTCTGCATGGGCTTTTTCAAAATCGAAGCCACACAGTGGTGTTTCTTTTCTGTCACCAAAATAGATGACGCTACACTTAGAAACTATTATATTACAATCAAACTTCAAACAATTGACTAATTGTACATGTTTCATTCGTTTATGATACAAATTCAAGAATTTTGGGTGCCTTTTTTGACATATCTATGACAGGTTATAGACAGAACTATCATGTACTCTTGACTCCTGTTGCACAGCTCAAGATTGTGTAAATCTCTACAAATATATTCTCCTTGTGGAATATAAATGTTTACTTTTCCACCATTGTCTAATAACATGGGCGGATGTTTACTTAAAAAGGTAAGGCTGAAACAGAGTGAAAAAACAGGCATTCACTTGTTCTGGTGCTACTACATTTGACTGGCAGTTCTTTTTATGGACTATGACATCTTCAGTCTTGTATTTCATTAATTTCTTGATAATCATGATGATCTTTCAATTAACACAACCATTTTTTTTTTTATTGCATTATTTGTCTGCTTTTGTATGATTGTGAATCTTGTGTTCACTTATTTGACTTCCTAACCAGTAATGTCCATTGTAGAAAGTTACTTGGGACATGTATCTGCTGTATAACTGAACAGTGGGATAGTCATTTTTGCTATGAGTTTGTCTTTCTTAATAAAACTACTTGATGAGGCCGAATATAGGTTGAAATACGTCAGTGTGAATAAAGAACAAGCTTTTAGAGAAAAAACAGGCATCCATTCTCCATTGTTTAAATACATTACACTGACAGTCCTTTTTATTAACACTTTATCTTCAGGATCTTAAATTTCGTTTATTTCTTGATAGCATGAGGATTTTTCAAATAACACAACCACATTTTTCTTATTGGTTTATTTGACTGCTTTCATATAATTGAGCATCCCTTATTCGGCAGTAGATCTGGCTTGTTTGTCTGATTTTAGCGCCTTATTCGCCGGATTTTGCACCGTGTGATTTTTGTTTCCTTAAGTGAAATCTGCAATAAAAGGGATAGTATTTAGGTATTTTGAAGCTGTAAAACAGAAAACTAAAGATACCTCTTATTCTACTCTTTCCCATTTTTTATCAAATACTGGCTTTGTCAATTGTGGACAGTTCTTAGAAAATCACTGACTGGAAGCTAACTAGTAGTTAATTTTTGTGATTTATTGTTTATTTTGCAGAATTGAGTTATTATTGTAAGTTATGTTTATTAATATGAGGTTTACTTTTATGTAGTGTTTCAAAATCGACTATGTATCTTAGTGTACAAGTATATTTTTTATTATAAGTCGAAAAACCAATTTTACACTTTTTGATTTTAGTCAGACAATCAGGCAATGAATGTCACATTCACATGCCATTATACTGCACATTTCTTACAGTATTCGATTTAAAATGTTTTAAAAATGAGGATTTCACTGGAGACTTTCTTTATTCAGATAAAAATCATTGTTTCATACAAGCTATTTATAAAAAACGATATTTTCGCTGGGAATTACATGTTTTAATACTATATGTACTATTGTCATGGTTAATTTGATTTTTTGATGGGCTCGTTGAGTTTTTGACAAATAGAATAGTGCATTAGTTTTTTGTAGTACAAGTCTCATGTGAACACCACAATTTAGTCATTGGATTAAATACTGTAAAAAACTTGCTGTGCGAACAAGGTCTTAATTGAGGAAAATCGTTTTCAATCAATCAACAGTTCTTATAAAATTTGCCATCATAAAAGTCAAGCCTCATATTAAGCTCCCAACTCGTTCGACACTTAATTAATCAGTCTGGTTTATCCTTTGTTTCAGAGGCACATGCAGGATGAGCGTACATAGCATAAAATAATCACGAGACAAAACGTTTTGCTAATGATACGCCTTTGTTGTGTTCTTACTTTAAAGGATGCAATTCTGTGTCTTGCGGTGCCTCTGGCTGTGCAACAGAAGACCGATGGGGAAATGGCACATTCTCGACCACTGGGGCACTATATATTTTTAGTAAAACTTCCTGCAAGCTTTCAGTTTGCGGTGCACTTTTGGCTAATCACAGGGTTGCCACCCTTAGAGACGTAGATATAGGTATCGACATACTGTTTGGCACAAAGTTCTTCATTGTGATATCTATAAAAGTTGAGATATTTAAACAATAGTGAAGGATTTAATATTGTGAGAAGAATTTAACATGTGGGATTGATCTTAGTGATGATTTATTCGATAATAAAAAAGCCAACAGTATTTGCTGCTTAAGAACGAAGAGTTTTTGATAAAATTGTTCAAAAATACAGTTATCAAATGAACAAAAATTAAGAATCTTAAAAAAATTAATGGGAAAATCCCAGTAGTTGGCTGTATACCATCGTTTAAAAAACTAATACAGAAGTAAAACACTTCAAATTTGTATGTAGGTATACTTTTTATATACCTACATACAAATTTGAAGTGTTTTACTTTGGTATAAGTTTTTTAAGAATCTTAAACTTATATTAACATAAATTGATGAACAATCTCAAAAAAAAAGAAGAAAATAAGAAATTTTTGGAAGAATTTATTGTTTATATATGTATTTTGACACTTACAAACTCCAGTGTTTTGAGACGCTTCTGCTTATTTTACCACACAGTTGTCAGTTCTTGATTGTGACATCGATAAAGGTGAAAAAATGTACTACATCATCACGATATGTTTCAACACAAGCACTACAAAATGCAATAGAAGATGACAACACCTTGCTGGTATGTTCACAAGCTTATGTTCTATATATATGCGACTGATAATAAACTTAATATTTTTTGTATCAGAACTCATCATCATTAGCTTGACAATTCTTTCACCCTCTTATATGTGTCTAAGAATTTTTCATTCAAACATACCTAATAGGTTCTCATCGCTTTTCAACAGTGTCCATGTCTCTGATCCATATACAAGGACTGGTTTTATCAGGGTTTTGTACATTTTGCATTTGGTTTTTCTTGTGATGTTAGATCTTAGATGTTTAATTAGTCTGTCATGTTTTATTAGCAATATGTATTCTTTTCTTAACTTCTTCGCTGACATTGTTATCTGCGGTAACTAGTGAACCTAGATATGTAATTTTTTTTTGCTTTCGATGTTATAGTCTCCTATTGTAGGTTTCTCAGATTCTGTAGGTTTCTTTGGCCTGTCGATTTGTATTGTGTTTTTATTTCATTAATGTTTAGGCCACTGTTTTGGCCACTCTTTCTATCACATTAAATGCTTCTATCATCTATCTTTCACTTCTAGCTATGATATCAACATCATCTGCAAATGCCAATATTTGTACAGTTTTTGTCATTATTGTTTCTCTGCTGTTGACTTTTGACTCTCTAATTATTTGCTCCAATGTGATGTTGAATAGAATACAGGATAGGGCATCTCCCTGTCACAGTCCCGTTCTCTCATGGATTGTATCTGTTAGTGCGTTTTGAATTTGAATTTTGAATTGTACTTAAGTGTTTGTTTTACTATATCAATGAGTTGAGTTGGAATATTAGAGAATACTCTTTCAGTGCATGGATCCGAAATATTTCTTAATTATATCAGAAATGTCATTCATGTCATCAAGAACTTAAGATGGGTCATGTCGTGATTTTGCTTAGAAACTGTGTCAATAAATTATATGAATCATAAATGACAATGTAAGAGTCAACTATTGCAAGGCCTTTACACATGAAGAAAACGCAATATTCTGCTTAAAAACCTCGTGGCAGCCCTGAGTACTGGTAGAAGCTGTAGTAATAACTGTTCACGTTCAAAATAGTTGTTTTGTTTCAAAAGAGGCTCCATCTGAATGGAAGATTATTCGGCTTCACACAGTAGAGCCAAAAGTGATCGAGTGCCCCACAATAACGAAGTAGCTCGGCACGCCACGTTCGAGCTATATATAATGGTCATCCTGTCGGTCGGTGCAGTGAGTAAAAGGAAAAAACGTCGGCGCGTACCCTGCTGACTTATTTAAAAAAAAAAAGGAAGCAAGAACGTACGCGTCACATATCCGAACACTGCAGCAGCCATCTTTGTTTGCTACTATAGCTGTTAACAGTATGACTTGTTAAAAACTTCAGAGCGACGTGGAATTTTATTCACTTTCATGGTTAGTATTCTTGTTCTTAATTTTTTTTTTTTTTTTCGGTTAGTTGAATGTCTTGTTTTTTCATAACAATTTTGTTAATGTACCATAATCTTTCAAAAATAGATCCAAATACAGGGAAACATTCAACTTTTTAATTTTTAATACGAGGTTACATCATTTTTGAAACAAATTTTTTTCGGTGCACATATTAGAGCCAAAACTATGAACTACAGTTTTTTTGGTGTCGGAATTGTGCCAGATTATTATGAAATATGGCTTTAGATGAATAACGTTCTATATGAACATATTCTAAAGCAATATTCCTACAATTGTCTCAATATTTAAGAATTCTTTGTGAAACTAGAATTAGACATTGTATATTATAAACTGTTTGAGATAACTTTATCATTTCTATTTTTGTAAGAAATCAAAACTGTTTTGATCAAAATTTTGATAATAACAGTAAAATCATGCATGTATATGGTACATATTTTTGTCAGGGGGCGAAAATATTGGCAATCTTATTTAAATTCATATGGTCACCCCGTTTTGCATATCTTAGTTTTTCAATGACAATATGTGTAAAAAAAATGATGTAATTTCCCTGAGTTTTCGAAAAAAAAACACAGTCTAACGTATAGGTGTATTTACTAGATGTGGAGGGAATAAAATATGTAGTCAACTATGATTACCCCAATTCTTCGGAAGACTACATTCACAGAATAGGCAGAACCGGACGTTCAGACGCCTCTGGTACTTCTTATGCCTTTTTCACACCGTCTAACTCGAGACAGGCCAGAGATCTTCTGTCTGTGCTAAAGGAAGCCAATCAGGTAATGTATAACAGTATTTTTTCTTTGTTTACTTTTGTGAATTTCGCTAAATGTTTTAAAACATTTTTAAGGGATTTTCACTTGTTGTGTTTTCCACATTTCCACTTATATTTTCATTACTACTTTTTCAAGTAAAAATAAATCTAAGGTACCAAAAATGTTTCCAAGAAGTGAATTTCCCTATTTCCCTGCTTGTTCTTATGCTGTTTGTAGATCCAGGAATGTGTGCAAGTGACATTTGATGATTCTCAATAGTATATTACTTGAATTGAAGTAAATAACCCAGTACATCAATCATGGGGCCATTTGCTAATTCTCCATATTTGATTGCATATCTGGTTTTAGGTTCGTTGGTGTAACTTCTAGTGCTGTGATAATAGACATCCTTATTTATAGAGTTTTGTGCAATATTTCTTACAAGTCTCCAGAACAGTGTCCATATCATTTTATATTACCAATTACCAGTTTTATCTTTATTCTTTGGGTTTAAATTCCTGAACAGGCAACATTGGTTTCTCTGAAACAAATATCTTGTTTACTTTCTCAGATACAGATATCTTGTTATATGTCAAAATCTAAAGCTACACAAAACTAGTTTTTAAAATAATGTCAAGAACTTGCTCTTACACCTTAGTTTATGACCAATTACTAGATTTGCATTACATTGTTTCTTATTTCCTGTAATTTCTCCATTTTTTATTTGGGAATGTTAATTTATGTAAAATACAAATTTTCAAATGGATTTGCAGGTTATCAATCCCAAACTAGCCGACATAGCTAACAGACCCGGCAGCTTCGGCAAAGGGGGCTTTAGCAAATTCGGTGGCAGAGACCGCATGGGAGGCGGCCGAGGCGGAGGTGGCCGTGGAGGCGGCGGTGGAAGCCGCGGAGGTAGTCGTGGCGGTCTTGGTGGCCGAAGCGGTGGAGCAGCCGGAGGTAGAAGCGGCGGCTTCGGTTCAGGTGGTGGTCGAAGCGGCGGTTTTGGTTCGAGTGGCGGTCGAAGCGGCGGCGGCGGTCTCGGAGGTGGTTCTGGAGAAGGCGGATTTAGATCTAGGTATGTATTATTTATAATTTTTAATAAGAAACAACAGTTTTTATATCTTTAGATAATTTGGTGTAGTTTATTTGCAGATTTTTGCTCAATTGATAAAAAAATGATAATTATTGTTTGTTTTAATCTGTAGAGATACTAGTACGGGACGACCTTCGAGGTTTAGTGCAGCCGGAGGCGGCAGTGGACCTACCGGTGGCGCTGGTGGTGGTAGTAGCGCCGGCGGTGGCCGAATGGGCGGAGGTCTTGGAGGCGGCAGTGGTAGTCGCATGGGAAGCGGTCCTGCTGGTGGTAGCAGAGTTAGTAATGGGTTCGCGAGTCGAGCAGCACGTAAGTTAAACGAACTTTTCATGTGAATGTTACAAAACTTGCACAATTTTTTTTCCCTTTAATGAACTTATCATAGTTAAAGGTGCTACGTTGTGCTACATAAACTACAGAATTTAAAGAACAATATGTGCACAAAGCCCTACCCGCACCAATTGCACAGAGTAACTTTAAATTCATACAATCCATCCATAATATTATTGTATTGCTCTAATTAATGTGAACATAAGAGATTGAAATCTGCAATATTTAATAGTAATAGGGAAAAAAAAAATATGATTTAAATTGTTTCGTTATGAAATATATCCTCCCTTAGCTTTTTTTATAGCATAAAAAGCATTTTTGGCATATAATTTTCTGACATTTGATGCCCTGTAGCACAATGCTGGTTTACAGCTTTAATCAGTTTTGTTCTTGTTGAGCAATATATCTTACCAAATCCAGATTTTACAATAGTCAACCAGATTTTCAATTGGATGAGGATCCTGTGGGTTTTTTTTTTCTTTGAATATTAAAAATCATGATTTGAAGGTGAGATGGAGCAGAACTGTGTTAAAAAACTGTTGATTGTTAGCCGTAACTCATCTTACTTGTTTCTAGTTTGTAAGGTGAACAGGAAACATCTGTTCACCTTAGTCATGCCAGTATCTCATTTTCGCTTCAAAACCTTGATTACTTACAGCTCTTACAACCACACTATGTTCAATATTTTCTGAATAATTTGAATGTTTCAATGTAACGAAAGTTTTTTACATAATGTCCATCATTAATTTAGTTTACCAAGAACAAAATGTCCATGTGTCATCATTCATAAATTGTCAGAATTTGTCACTATTTGACAACCTTGTCATAATGAAGGAATTAGGTTATGTTTTTGTTGCATGTGATGTTAAACTTTTATATTAAGAGTTTACAAATTACTAACCAACTGACAGCTGTGCAAGGGTCATTCACAATCTGGCTTGAATTCTCCTGAAATTAGAATTGTTGAGCTCAAAAGACAGCATACCTCTAAAGATTGCCAGTTAGGATTACTTCAAATATCTTTCCTGAAAACTATATATACCAGCTTATAACTGAACTGCGGGAGCTGAAGGAGGCCTGTGGTCAGAACCCACTCCTTAAGTTCAGGATCTACATAATGTGTCACAGAGTGAATTGAGCAATGATCTTTTTCTTGAACTTAAAGATTTAGAAAACCGTTCTAATTATTTTATTATTTTTAATTTTCATAGTCAAGGGCAGGATTCCAATGATGTGAATGTCCTCTTTGTAGAACTTGTGAGCTACTGATACAGAAGACGTGTTAGAATCAGTAAGCGTAACAATAATGAAAGATGCCATTAAAAATAAATAGAATACATGTCATTAGAAAAAATATTTATAATAATCTTGGTCTAATAAAAATCTTAACAGCTACAATCAATGTTGAATGAAATTGTTAATGGTGAATGCAATATTTGAATTCCTCTATCTCTTTTCTATGTAGCAGCCGCAATCTACTTGTCTCCCACATCAGCCCCCATTTGATGAGATATTTTTTGCAGTGTAAAGGGTTCCCCTTACTGCTTATGCTTTACTGTCCACTGAAGTTGACATGGTCAATATAAAACTACTCATTCTAATTCTCTGAAGGATAAATCGATTAAATATAGAAATTCTGCACTCCAGCCTATACTTTGTTCATCCATTTATAAGGATCGACTCTCTAAGAACTCTTCCATGTCTTCTTCTGTATACTACCATAACTGACAAGGCCTCTGAACTAAACTCAAGGCATAATACACCAGCCTGTCAGTATGATATAATTATGCTGACAAAAACTTGATTGCATGATGGCTTCTGAATTTGTTTTTCCTAAATATACTTATATCAAAAAGATCGTTCACCTATTACTAGTATGTTTAAGATGACCTAGGCTGTGCCTAATTTTCCAACTGCGTATCTCTTTGTCTGTGTAGAGATTCTGCCTAATTTCTGCAGCTTTTCCAGCAAAATCACTTGCACAATGTTTTTCTAGAGCTGATTTTAACGTAAGATTCTGAAACAATAGTCCCTAGCTGATTATTATTTGGCACCACCAGTTATTCACCCACTTCAGTTCATTTCGCTACAACCAAACTGTTTGGATGACATGGATGACTTAAGTTTTAGGGATGGGACAATTTGAACAATGTTAAAATATTTTGATAATTATTTTATTTATTTTTCTATATTTATAAATTTTCAAATGTTTACAATTGTATTTGACCTTTGCCTGTTAATAAATAAATAAATTAACTTGTTGCCAACTACTAAAAGAATGGGATTGCGAAAATAATGTTCTGTTCACATTAATTTGCATAATACTCACATAAATATAATAACAAGTGTGTTTTTAGCTTATACTTGCAATGTGTTCGCATTGAATTCTTATATAATTTCTGTTTTCAGCCTACTAAGTTAACCAATGTTGGAGGAAACCTCTCAGTGTATCAGTATTCTTCAGATGCATTCCCATGCGTCCCTCTTAGACCGTTTAAATAACTTAATTTACCACAAATATATTGCCGTCTCTCTGCAGCATGTCGTTCCATGTTTCTAGTTTTAAGAGATCTTGAAGTTTAATTAAACTTATTTAATTAACATTAAAAAAGTGTAAATCTGTGATTAGATTGATGATTTTAATTTTGACTTTTAATATAATGTAATCTATTGATGTAGTCAAAATATATTTATAAAATATATGTCGATTATTTCACTGCACCCATTTACCTTCGTTTAAAACAGAAAACCAACACAGAAAATACATCTACAAAGCCGAGGCCTGTGTTTTAAGTAAGTACCAGTTTGATTTAAATATAAATTAAACATTTACTTACTTTTGTATAAATGTCTTCTTCTCTCAATTGTGCCCAAACTAAAGTTATTCTTGTACAATAGTTTCTCCTTTAAGTGCCCTTCTCCCAATACCAGTTTGTTGGAAAGATGGTAAGTTTCTCGGATGAAGAATTAGATAAAAACTTAAAATATATAAACTATGTTGTTTTTTTTATAATAAATAAATACTAGCCAATACAAATCAACGTCTGCGAGCATTTCATTCCGTTCGGTGTTCGGCAGAAAGATTGTCCGAACCAGGGGCTTTGTTATTTTTCAGTTTTAAAATGGCTTCTCTAATTTATTCTTCGGCGGGGGCGGCTTTTGAGCATTTTCAGGCAAAGTAATTTCTATAAGGGTACTCAAATAAAACTCCAAAATAAAAATATTCAATTTATTCACTGTACAACAAACAAAACATCAGAATTTTTTTATAAAGAATTCCAATGAATATGAATCGATCAATCATCTTGTACGACAAGAAATAATGAGACCTCGATACGTCTGCTCAATAAAAATATGGCTAAACAATGATAATAGAAAAGCTTATAATGAAATAATATTAAATGCAAGAAAAAATTTTGTTAAAAAAATAATCGTGACAACTGTTACAAAACAATAGAAAAAAGTGATGTTTACAGGATGGCATAGTATACGTTGAAACTATTAAATGGCAACATTCTTGTGTTTTAAACACCTTTACCGAGGTAAACAAATATACAAAGAGGAAATCAACAATTCACACATTTTCCCCTGTTTCTCTCCCTTTTCCTTGTCTTTCTTTCCTTCACACTTTTATTTGACTTAAATACTTCTTAAGTTAGTTATTTACACATTTTTGCCTTGTTCTGCTTGTTTTTCTCTATCTTCCTTCTACCATACTTTTGTTTGATTAAACCACTTCTTGTTAGGTCGTTCTTTACATTTTCCCTTTGTTTTTCTCCCTCTTCCTACTTTCCTTTCCTCCACACTTTTATTTGACTTAATCACTTCTTGTTATGTGGTTTTTTAACATTTCCCTCTTATTTCTCTCTCATTTCCTCCACACTTCCTGAACGTAATTCTTTACACATTTTGGCCTTGTTTCTCTCTCTTCCTTCTTCCACAGTTTTTATTTGACTTCATCACTTCTTATTATGTATTTCTTTACATTTTTCCCTTGATTCTCTCTCTTCCTTCTTCCACACTTTCATTTGCCTTAACCACGTTTGTTATGTCCTTATTTATACATTTTCTCCTTGTTTCTCCCTCTCTTCTTTGTTTCACTCTTTTATTTGACTTCTTCACTAACACTTCTTGTTACAAATTTCTTCACAAATTTTCCCCTTTCTTTTGGATTTGTTCAGACCACAACCACAAAAATTCCATTGTTTGTCTTCAATCTAGTAAATTATCGGATTCTGTCAATTTTCCTTCGAGGTAGGATTTCTATTGCACTTATTTTGCTTTATTTCTTATCTAAGACAAACCTAGCCCTATTATCTATTTATATTTTCATTTTCACGTTCTCTATTGAATTTCTTTCTTTATCTCTGGCTTTCTCCCTTTTTATTAATTCTGCTTATATATTTCCGTTATTTCTTTCAAATAACTAAAACTATCCAGTTATTTATTTTTATTTTCACGGTTTCTTTCTTCTTTTCCTACATTTTGTATCCTGTGTTTGCTCAAATATAATATTTAAGACAGACAACACATTGTGTACCTTCATTTTCACCTACACACGTTCAATTTCTGTGTTTATCTTTTTTTTGCAAGTGTCCTCTTTTTATTTTTTTTCATCTTTGAGTTGTCACTGTACCAGATCATTGTAGGGTAATATTGGTTTGCTTTTTGTCCTTTTTCATCGGTACATATTGTGTCATTTATTTTTTTTTATTATTTACAGTAACTCACATTATTATGACAATTATTACAGAAATTGGGATATAAAGTCGTACCTGCAAGGCTTATTTCGCGAATAAAACATACAGCATGAAAAATAATCCACTTCGTTTTGTTCATAGATTTAGCAAAAGCCTCCGACAAAGTTCAGTTGTAAGATCTTTTGGAGTTGCCCCTAACGGTAGAGATACGAATACTGCTAAAACACCGGTATTATCAAGGCAGGGATCCCAAACTACAAGTCAAAAAGGTTCGCTGCAGATCTAGGACGATTTAAATTGCTGATTGATGGCAAAATCATTGAAAAGTAACACCCACTACCTAAAAGCCATGCTATACTGCCATTATTACCGAAAAATATGCGTTTCGTCTACTAGAACCAGTTTCACTATACATATCCTCCATCAGATAGTGGTAGGTTAAATAAAAGCTCGAAAAAAAGAAATGGAGACAAAAAATTGCCAAAATATCAATATGCACATTTTGTTCTAAATCGATTCAAAAGTTATCGATGACACAGAACCAAGATACCTTAAATAATATCAATTTACTTGCTTTTTAATTTTTTGAATATGCCATCCTATAAACATCAGTTTTTAGACAACCTTTTTTTTAACTAACAAAAAACATTTTACAAAAAGGTCCCTGGTTCCTTAATATTTTAGGCACATTTTTAAATAATGACAACATTATTGCATAAGCTTGCCCTATAATTAAAAAAAAAAAGTGTTTAGTATAAAAAGAAAAGAAATTTTTGTTTTATCACACAAATTATCAAATAAAAGGTTCTTTTACCAACAAATTTTCAAATAAATTCATTAATAAATATAGTGCATGTTTCTACAATTTCTTTGATTTTGCCAAAGATCTAGTTCCTCCATTTCTGTTTTGAATCTTCCATTCTAAATTGTTTGCCATATCTATTTTTATTGGAGTTTGTTTCGGTTACTCCAATGAAAGAAGCTTTGGCATTATTTTTTCATTCCGGATTATCTTGTTTGACTCGAAGGACCAATATATTAAATAAAAACTACTTTACGAATCAACACTTAGCATTAATAATGGCAAACTGGTCAAAATTTGTAAATAAAAGAACCAATACACCAACGCTCAACATAAACACAGTACCAATCTGTTATAAATAATTTTATATACACAAATATTTTATTACTCTTATTCATTATCAATTGCAAAATTCTTATAAATATCTTCATAATAATTAAACCGTTTGCACAACATATTTATATTAAAAAATGTCTTTCTCGGTACTGCTTTGGTACCAGTATTACACTTAACTGAGGATATTTAGAAGCCTCAAAATCAGTGGAAGTATGTTTTTAAGAAATCACAATGGGTTATTAAAGGCGTTTATACAAAACCAGCGAATATTTCTGAGGTTCAGTTTGTTTTTCTTTATATCTGAAGGAAAATGATGTTTTGTATTTTGCCATCTGAGCTTATTAACTATGTATTTTACTGTGTACTCGTATTATTTTTAAAGGCTGTAAAATAGTTACTCAGAGTAATGAATCAATCATGTGAAGTAATTTGAAAGCAATACAATTCTAGGTGTGATATACAGGGTGTTTCAAATAGGTATGTCATAAATTAAAACCTTAGTACAAAAGTGTACACAAAAAAAGTTACAGTTTGATATACTCCACATTTGAAGCAGATATCAATACACCTGAGCACTTAATGAGTGCAGGCTGGTACCATTTGTGTTTTTACTGTACAAAACGTTCCTGATTTATTTAATCCATGAGTATTATTAAAGTATTTAATTAATTGACCCCTTATTGTTAACTCAAACGTCATTTGGTCCTCTAGTTTTGCTTCATATTAAATGTAGTAAGTGTTGGTTTATTTCATAACAATGAAAAGTCTCTTTAAAAACATCTGGCATCTTTTCAAAACTAAAACTGCCTGCACATTGGAAATACAGAATAAAAGTATAGTATGGAATTTTTTGTGATATACCTACACTGGATACTGCTTCATGATAAATTATTCTGTGCAACTTTTTACAGACTTTACATGACCAATATTTAAAAAAACTTGCTTTAAAAACGAATTCAATACAAAAAACAATTAAAGTTTCTTTTAATTAGCTATTTGGAACTCTACTACATTTATATATTGTTTGACAAGTTTTGTAGAACTAAATAAAAATTCAAAATAAAACATATAATTTAATCCAGTTAATTATTTTATCCTAGATTTCTTTTATATGCTATGAAAGATGTGCTGGTAATGGAGTATAATTTTTGACTACATTCTCTGTTAGTTGTTCAGTGTTGTCTATTTTAAGAATGAACCTCGTATACATCGTAATATGATATACGAGGGGCAAGTTATAAATAATTATAATCCTAAATGTATTACAGAAAGAGAACATCGTTTATGATTCGCAAGCAAAAAATGTTCAGAAAATATTAAAGTAGACAACTATTATTTTATTACAAAGAGAAGAGAATACTTGTGCTAACGTTGCAGTTGAGTACTTACTTGTGTAACATCAGGACACAAGTTTCCTTATCAGCTAGTCAGTGTCGTGTATTATGTTGTGTCATCTATTTTATGAATGAACCTCGTACACTTCTCAATATGATATACGAGGGGCGTGTTATAATTTATTACAACAAAACAAATACAGTGTAGGGAAAAAACATCTATGTTTCACGAGGAAATAATGTTTATCAATCAGTCATAGGGAGAAAAGCTCATCTAGTTACCCCTAAATTAGGTGGCCTAACCTCATAAAGTAAAACAGACAATGTCCCATTATCCAGGGCATCCAAAGTAGTGCTCAGTACAAAAGCCTCCCCATTCGTTATGTCTTGTGATGAGGAGGGTTGGTTGGTTACGGCTTGGGGATCAGATAGGTACCGCTCCATTAAGGAGTGTGACCGGAGTGTTCTTCGGACATGTAGATCCTACTGATCCATTGGAACACACATATCACTCGGAGCCGGGGTTTTCTCGACACAAGAAGTTTTCTTATCAGATCAACTATTCAGTGTCCTGTACTTAAGTTTTTACTACAGTAAGTTGAATATTTGTGTGTACTGGTTCATATTATGGAGAATATGACCCCCAAATTCTACAGTTGTTTCGGAAAATATCAAAAATGCCCACAAAACCATTTTTATCAATCGTAAATTAAAGTTGTGTGATATATCCAGTATTTTACGTTAATATTTGCCAATGAGAAAGCTCAAGTGCACAAAAAAAATCGCGTCGATGACACGATCGTTATTTTCAACTGTTTCAATGCAATAAACATATTTTTTAGTCGATATATCACAACTGATATAATATGGATACATCACTTCATTTAAAAGTCAGATCGGTAGACAGATGAGTAGATAGCAGCTCATAACGGTGAAAGCGATCGAAAAGAGCCCAGCTAGAAAGTTTTCGTATTTTTGGTTATGTGAGGCATTTTTATTAGTGAGTGTTTATGTGAGACACGAAAACGTGAGAAGATTTCCGAACTATCAGCCTTATGAGTCATGCACTTGAGATTTGTCTTAAAACCATAGATGCCATAATTTATAAGAAATGCGAAGAAAATGTCGGTGAAATGCAATTTTGATTCCGCAATTCCATGGAAACACGTGAAGCACTTTCACCTTACAAGTCCTACTTTAGAGATGCCGCGATGCCAGTTGTGATATCTATATTTGTTTTATTGACTACGCCAAGGCATTTGACCGTTTTCAGCACCAGAAGATATTCGCCGCCCTACAAAGAGACAAATTTTTTACTGAAGCCCTCACAAACCTAGCAATGGGAATCCGAGTGAACGGTGAATACATCAATATATCCGCTACGCCCGATGACACTTTGTTTCAAAGTTGATTTATTAGAGCATTCAACCTTATATCAAAACCATGATAGCCTTGATGATCGCCAAAATCCGGACCGGATAAGGCACTGAAGAAGAAAGAAGAGGCATTTTGTTTACCGATTACCTTAAAAAAGCAATAACTGTCAACGTTTAATATTATATACCGATATCAGTGCCCTTGAAGCAAGAAATGGCGAAAAAATGGCCACAAATAAAGAAGAGAAAACGTTGATTTGCTAGTGTTGTGTTGTTCCAGCCCATTGCCTACGACTCTACACGATGAAGGTTCCTCGCGGTTCTGACTTGTCAAACGAGTGGACGATCCGTTAACATTCAAGGGAATTCCAGATAACGGTTCACAAAATATATATATATATATATAAATATATATATAATAATATATATATATATATATATATATATATATATATATATATATATATATATATAAGGAAATTTTGATCGTAAGAGTTAGTCTAAGATATAAATTCGTATTGTCAAGTAATAAATATATAATAAAATAAATAATTGCGTTTTTAGTGTTAGTGTAGATAAATTAAAATAAGTGTCGGAAGAATGTACACATAAATTAAAGAATGACAATAAAAACATTGCAGTTGTTATGACTGAACCTTCTCCAAACCTTGCGCACACATCTGCTATAGTATACAAAAGAACTTCAGATGGTTTCTTATTGCTGTATATTATTAAAACTGTGTATTTATTACTAAAATATCACAAATCATTAAAAAACATCACTAAAAAGAGAATCTGTATCAGCACATTAATTTAACTATAAATGCACAAATATTGTTTGATTTAAATTCACTTCATGGATAACATATCAATACAAAAACACAAAAAATCGATAAATTCTATTAAAAATTAAGATCTAAACGTGTAGGTCTAATCTATGAATAAATAAACCAGTCCTATTCTGCCACAAAAATATTTTTAGTAAATCTACTGATTTAAAAATCAATCTAAAATGTTAGCAGCGACGTTTTGGAAATATGGCGTGTAAATATTATCCACCTTACCATAAAGCATATTACGATAAATAGTTTGGTGCCTCGAAGGGAAAGTTATGAGTATTTTTGTACAAACACCACATTGGACACTTTAAAAATACCTCTATCGGACTTTTCTGGAAGGATCTTCTATAAAAATCTTTACAGTAGACAATATTTGACATTTGGTAATTAAACAAATTTTGTACACGTTAATATTATTGGCTCTACACGTCACAGTATTTAACAAATGACCAAAGATTGTGTTTGTCCAAAAATAACTCGACGATCTCTTTAGCACGAAGTACAAAAAATTGTTTTCTTTACAATTTAAAACTTTTAAAACAAATATCACAAATATTATGATCTACGATCTACATCCTAACGAGATCAAATAAAAATAAGGGACTAGGAATGTACAGACTATTAGGCTAGACCTTTGCAGAAAATCCAAAACGATTTTTTTATTTTAACTGATACTATCATTTATATATTAGTAGAATTGGCACAGATACTCGAAGATCATCAGTGATCGAGAGTATAATATTTTTCACCTAAAAAGACCGCTTTGCAATTAAATGATGGTAACTTTATTACTAGCGGACCAGATAAGCGGCGATATATTTTACACTACCTTTATGAATAATATTTTACCGCTCTTATTCCGTCCCACTTCTTTTAACACGCCCTGTATATACATATTATATTCATTTTATTTGCCTTTGATACAGTAAAATCAAATATTATTACTGAACGTAAAATACAGGAAATTAAATATTTTTACTTTTCAAGCGATCGAAATTAAATATTAACGCCCCACTGTTTGAGGCCCACTGATCATATATCTTAATTATATATCGGGTGTAGGGTAAAAGGATTATAATTATGCGAGACAATTAAATCGATGACGTCAGACGACAGTAGATCTGCGTGTATTATAAGCAAAAGTACTAGCTCATAAAAATTCATAAGCAATTTAGTGTTTCTACTATCGAGGAAGTTAATTAGCAATATTAATTAAAGCAATCACGGGTAATTTGGCAGAAAATTGATGCTAATTCAATTAATAACAGTTTATATAATTACGTAATGAATCCAAGACGAAAAGGCGTGTTTTTCTATAAAAATCAAGTGAACGACGGTACATTTAGATAATTTGTTTTGTGTCAATTACGAGCGATCAATTTTATTTATATAGAACGCCAGAAAAATCATTTTTGGAAGCAGCGGCATAAGCTACGAATATTTTTATGCCACTATGTCTATTATTGCTGACAGCTGACAGGAAACAAAGTAACTTTTCAAGAATAAAATTTTCAAAGTTACCTGAAAAAATCAGAAAACTGCCGCAAAGACAAAACTGATTATATCTCTCAAAAATATGCTGTCAAAATGAACCGAGGGTCAAACCAAGAAGGTCAAACTCCTTACCAGAGAATTTACATCTCAAACGTGGTCTATAATAGATAAGGAAGGTAATCTAAAGACAGATACTGATGAAATATTGGAAACATGGAGAAACTACTGTAGCAAGCATCTATATAGATCACGACATTGTTTTATTGACAATACAGCACAATGGCAATCGCTGTGACATATTACACGTTTCCACCTCTATATTCATTTCACAGTAGGTACGAATTGTCGTAATTGTCACATTGACATTAAAAATTTCAAACGAAGTTCTGAAAGAATAAACAAATAATTAATAAAATGTAGTAAATTTATTTATTTATTGTTGCATTCGAAAATAGACCCCCACCAAGTGTTACAACACTTAAAATACCATTAAACATTTTCAAACTTCGGGATGTGTAAACAGTTGTAAAAAGTGTCATGAAGGTAATGAACCACGTGTTAGATTTGTCAATGAGGAACGTCACAACAGGGATATTAATATTTGTGCTTTTGTGGAAGCTTGTGAACCCTGCTATAGTGTACAAATTGCTAGGGAAGTTAACGTGAATGCTCGAACTGTCCAGCGAGTTCTCAAAAGGAATGGGTATCACTGTTTTAAGATACAACCAACACAAGAACTGTTTCCGGAAGATAACTAGATAACTAGGCGAATGGAGTTTTGTGAATTTATGTTACAATATGATCCTCCTCGAACTCTACAACCTATATGTTCCCCTTTATCGTCGAAGACTCTTGTCCATTTTCACACTCCCACTTTTTCTAGCTTGTTTCGTAATAAATCATATTATATGATAATATCAATTAAAATATAACCTCACAAATGTTTGGCCGTCGTTTAGAACTTTATTATATCTATATCATCCTACAAAATATTTTATTGTAATATATATTTCTCAAAAAACTACTTTAATATTGATAGCTCCAAACAACGACTTTCTGCAAACCTCGCCTATTAGAAACGCTAATTACAAAACCTTACCAATAACCGTAGGTTCTTCCTTTAAGAAGGTACTCGACCTCTGCATGACCGGAGCCGGTACAGTCTTCGACGCCTGCGCAGTCTTCGACGGCTGTACAGGTTTCGCGGCCTGCGTGCTCTTCGTCACTCGTCTGGGCGATGTACCGGCGTTTTTTAGGGGGGATGGACTGCGAACGTTCGCTTTGATGGGAGAAGTCACTCTGCTGTCGATTTTTCTAGGCGAGCTACCCCGACTGTCGCTTTTTAGAGGTGAGCTGGACCTGCTGTCGGGTCTTTTGGTGGCCAGGGACGATGGGGCGTCTTTCTTTCCCAAGCTGGTGTTTCTAGAGACCGTCGTTGATGTTTTCTTTGAGGTAGCCGGTTTGGGAACGGGTGCTTGGAGCGGTGGTTTAATGTTAACTGCTAAAAAATAATATAAATGTATTATAATCAAACAGTTAATACAAACAACAGTATGGGTCTTCTTAGAGCCTTCTACATCAGTCTATCTATGTAACAATCATCGATACAGTGAAGGGGAAAACTTTCCAACTCGTTAATAAGATAATATCGTGCTGTAAGCTTAAAAATAAATAGTTACATATAAATTGGAATCCTGGTTCTATGAAACACGTTACAGTGGTATTACGGTGAGAGGTAATTTATTTATTTAAAAATAAATGAAACACTGCCTTTTAAAAAGACATTTAAACTTTTAAAAAGTGTTGTTCGTCGGGAATATCCGCGTAGTTCAGTAAATGACGAGAAGAACGAGATGAAGACTGCAGCGGGTCCAAGAAGATCCTTCAAGAAAGACTGAGAGATGTTCTCAACAAGTATGGAGATGATCCAGATACATTTCATCTTCAATAAGCAAAAGAAGTAGTTTTAACAAATATCGAAGGAACTTCTAGAAGGAATGATGAGAAATTTGAAAATGTTTCTATAATCATTGAGGAAACGTCTCAAATTATTAAAGAAGCAATTAGACAAAACAATGAGAAATTCAAAAATGTTTCTAGAAGATTCGACGACACTTCTCAAATAATTAAAGAAATATGTAGACAGAACAATGAGAAATTTGAAGAAGTTTCTAGAACATTCGACAAGGTGGAAGAGAATGCGAAAGTGTTACCACCAGTTAATGCAGTAGTTTTAGATTCTGCAGTAAGAATCACAGAAAAACGAAACGACACATCATATGACATTCAAATTGCCGCCATTTGATGAGAAATCTTCTTGGTCTATATACCTTAGACAATTTGAAGCTATTGCGACAGCAAATCATTGGACAGAATAAAAAAACAAGAAAATGCTGTTTCCTTCACTGCTGCTTTACGAGGTGATGCTACGAACATCTTAAGATCGATTTTTAAGGGCCAAGAAAAATGTTAGCAGACCTTGTGCACTCGACTAGAAAAACGCTATGGAGATGCTCATCTCCATACCTCCAAGTCTACAAAGTACAAATAAGAAATAAAGTTCAATGAGCAAGTGAGAATTTGCAAGAATTTGAAGCAGATGTTACTCGTATATCGCGGTTGGCTTATCCAGAGGCACCAGACAACAAATTGGAAGAAATTTCTGTAGATATCTTCGTTAATGGGTTGAGAAACTGTGAACTGCAGAAAGCTTTACGACTAGCAAGACCGAAAATGTTGATGAAACACTTGCCATTGTCTTGGAACACGAAACAGCTTCACGGAATTATCGAGTATCAAGTATGAACCTATAAAAAAGGCAACAAACAAAACGATAAACGTATGGAAAATAGTTATTTTAGGCATGTCTATAATTATTGCATGCAATTTGCAGTAAATTTGACAGTTGCCAGAATTTACTCTCAATGATTTAGTGGTCGATAATTCATACCCTGGTCAGAAAACAAAACGGATAACTCAGTACTTTAAAGCTGTAAATGGATCTGTTATTTAGACTAGAATATGGATAAGTATAAGATATAAAAGGGATATGTTGAACCCTTGCAATCTACAAGAAAACTGTTTTTAAAGTAACTTACTGCTATTCCTGTCTCTGCTAACACCAGCCCTAGGCACTGCCTTGATAGGTCCCTTCGTAGATTTGGCAGCACTGGCGGCGGTCGGCTGGGTTAAGGTACTTCTTCGGTGTATGGAGGGACTCGGAGGGACTTGGGGCGCCTTGGCGGCTAGGAGAAGGCTTCTTCGAAGGGAAGGACTGCCGTTGGTGCCGTTCAAACGGTTCTGTTGGTTCATCCCGGGACTGGAATTGCGCGATGAGTCGGATGAACTTAGGGCAGGACTTTGGACGTTTGGTTTTTGGTTGGGGGGCTTCTTATTGCGGAACATCGTTGCACGTGGCAGTCGACTAGTGGGTTCAAGGTGTGGGGTAAGTTCTTTTATACGAGTTCTGTGAACAGACAATAGTTTGTACAATAGACCAATAGACAAAAACTAAGATGTATGATACTTACCTTAAGGCAGTATCCAGTCTCAGCCAAGCGTGACTCCGTATCAGTCTATCAGCTTGTCCAACGAGACATTGTTCTAGTTGTAATTTAACTTTATTTAACATATCAGCAAATGGTCTGGTCCATTTCTGATCCAACATTTTGCAACATCTAAAACAAGAAGTATAAATCATGTACATTTAGATACTATTAAGAAATTAACGTTTTCACCTGGCATAACTGCGACATGCCTGTTCAACGCCCAGATTCTTGGCTGCAGATAACATCTGGTCCTCGATCTGACAAACACCGAATCCTAAACCAGCATCTAGTCCTACTAAGTACTGCGAACCTAACACTGCTGAGAAATGTTGTCGGTGATATAGATGGCAAGCGTCTGTGAGCTGTAGGACTAGTTGGCTGACTGGTTCAGCCCAACGCATCGCAGGAAGCGTTGCAAGAATCTACAAAATAAAAAAACGTTGATCGATATACATACAGTACATCCCAAAGTATTATTACCTTGTCACAGGCTAAAATTGTATCCAACACCTTATCTGGAGTCATGTGTACCACATGCTGTTGGTAACATTTTTCTCTCAGTTCCCTTGGTAGACTAGCAAATGACCTGCTTGGCCAAACTCGCACAAAATATTGAGTAATCCAGTGCAGACAGCTGAAATAGAAAATGACGGATGTTCATATAACAAAAACCTCTTTTCAGTAATTTTGTCTGGCAATTTGGTAATAATTTTTTTATGTAGAATTTTAAAATTATGATTAAATTATCGAATTTCTGCAATTAAATAATTTTCCATTAAGGATTTTTTTTATTTATCTTTACGTGTCTCGACAGCGTAGGTCACGGCACAGAATAATAAACAATCAGAATGCCCACTGTTCATGGAAAATTAAGTACGCGCATCTCCTTCGCGCAGACGTTCCGCCATATTTTAGAGGGAACCAGTGTTGTTTGTGTGATGTACATAGAAAAATTAACCCGGTTTAATTGACTTACGGCAATCATAGACATACTATACAATTATATTAACATTGTTAAATATAATAACATAAATATAATGTCTTCTTCTTCTTCTTCAGCCTGTGTTCGTCCACTGCTGGACATAGGCCTCTTCCATTTGCTTCCATCGATTTCTACTTTTGGCAATTCTCATCCACTGCTTGCCCGCGACTTGTTTGATATCGTCTGTCCACCTCTTCTGCGGTCTGCCTACTCCTCGCCTGTTCTCTCTTGGTCTCCAGTTTGTTAATCTTTGTGTCCATTTTTCGGGATTATCTCGGGCAACGTGTCCGACCCATTGCCACTTGAGCCTTGCAATACGTTCTGAGACATCAGTAATTTTTGTTCTTTCACGAATGACGTTATTTCGAATCCTGTCTCTCAAACTAATCCCTAGCATGGCCCTCTCCATTGCTCTTTGGGTTGTACTGAGCTGCTCTAAGGTTTTCTTTGTGAAGGCCATGGTCTCCAGTCCATATGTAGTTACAGGCAAGATACATTTGTCATAAACTTTACGTTTTAGACACATTGGTATATCTTTATTCTTCAAAATAAAGCTTAATTTGCCGAAAGCTCCCCAAGACAGTTGTATGCGTCTTTTTATTTCGGCTATTTGATTTTCTTTGCCGATTTTAATGGTATGTCCAAGATATATATAGTGGTCTACATTTTCAAGACTGACGTTGTCAATAACAAGATTAGTTTGTAAATTACTCATTATTTTTGTTTTCTGAAGGTTCATTTTGAGACCTATTTTATTTGACTGCTGGTTTAATTCCTTCAACATTTGCTCCAGTTCCTTGATATCTGTACTAAATAATACTATGTCATCCGCAAACCTCAAATGACTCAAACGTACACCATCAATGTTTACACCTTTTTCCTCCCAGTCAAGCTGTTTGAATACATTTTCCAATGCTAAGGTAAAAAGCTTTGGTGAAATAGTATCACCTTGTCTAATACCTTACCTAATATAATGTAATTAAATATAAATATAAACAATTACATAACCTCACAAGTCATATGTCTGTGTTATGTGTTTCCTTCTAAAACATGGCGCGCGTGCTGAAAAACTTCAAAGGCGGCATCTGTGAGTGGACATTCTGATTGTTTATTATTCTGTGGTCACGGACACAGGTACAATTTTATTACATTACAAGAGTATACAGTAACATTACAATCGATAAACAAATAAGGTGAAGTGGGGTATCTGTGAACGGAGTATGAAAAGTTTTATTTTGAAGTTACTTATGAAGTTACTTGGGTTTCAAACCACTTTCTTTTTGTTTCTAGATATGTATTAGTAATCTATCAATATGTTCTCTTCAATAAAAGATGAAAAATGAATTGAGAGAGAATAGAGCTGCAAGATGTTGTACATAGAATCGTAGGTTGCTTATCCGTAGAACTTTGCTCGTCAGTGATAGTGTAAGGAATGTTTTTCTCTTCATAATATCGTTTTAACTTTTTGGGATCAAACTTTTCTTTGTTAATGGAATCTCGATTTAGAGGAAAAATACCTGTTTTTCTAAAGCCATTCCCCACAACAGGTTCTCGAATACTGCGCCAAGCTTTTCCCAAAAGGTTGAAAAATTCTCATTTTTTTAGCTGTTTTCCTAAATTTTTGCGCTGCCAATCTGTTAACAAAGCATCCCATGAAGACTTGAGTCCCTTGAAGGCAGACACATCCAAAGACTGCAATATTGCAGAAGTATGTGGCGGTAATTTAAGAATAGTCACATATTCTGCCCTGGATAACGCAATCGGTTCGGGTGAAATGTGCGATAAATGACCAGAGCAGGTCTTTCAACGCAATTTAAAAAAAAACACATTTTTGAACCATAGAAAAGATACTTGTTCAGTCATCCAACCATTTTTGGATACGTAGTAAGATGTCTCTGGATATTCATCTGTAACAAACATATGGTCCCATAAACTTTGCCCTTGTGGAGAAACATAGGTGGCAATATGGATCCGTTGACATTAGCACATGCCAAAACTGTTGTTGTTTTTTTCTGTCCTGAGCCTGCAGTTTGCTTTTATGCTATTTCTCCGATTTTAGGTTAGCTTCATGAAGTTGAAATAGTTCATTCTTTATGAGAATTGCAATAGGATGTCCGGTATGAAATTGTTTCATGGTTTTGAATGAACTAAGAGAGTCAGTGATTATAAGAGAATTAGGAATGTTGAGGTCGATAATATGAATAAGCGCTTGAAAAATTAGATAGATTTCTCCAGTGTGTATGGTACTAATGAAGGGTAACTTAAATTGTAATGTAAGGAATGGTGTGACAAATGCTGACCCTACACCAGAGGAGGTTTTAGAAGCATCCGTATGTATGTGATAAGGAATCTGGAAGCTGGCAAGTTTGTTAAGGAAACATTGTCGAATTTTTATAGAAGTTTCAAATTTATTATATGATGTAAGTTATATATCACATAATGTAGGTGGGATGGCCCAAGGAGGAGGAGTCGGTATATTTGTTTCGAACATTTTTGGAAAATGGGTGTCAAGTAAGGATAGATGTCTTCTAATTCTTTCATAAAAAGGAGGATCTACACCATTTTTATTGTATGCTTCTTTAAAACGGTCTGCAATTGTGTGATGAACAGTGGGTAGATGAGGTCTTTGATTATTATTAGTACTGGCCATTCTACTTATCAGTGCGAATTGTTTTGTAATGTAATATTTGTAATTAAGTGGGTTTTTGAGTTAAATGAAGTTCGTCATCATCATCATTGGCTTTTACAACTCTTCGTGAGTTTTTGCCGCGTTTACTATTGCCTTCCATTGATTCCGATCCTGTGCTATTATTTCCCATGGCCTTACTTCCATCTTCTCCAGGTCTTCCCTGACTGCGTCTTTCCACCTTTTTCTAGGTCTTCCTGTCGATCTTTTACCATCTGGTCTTTCCCAAAACACATTGCTAATCAGTCTGTCGTCATCACTCCGTACCACGTGGCCTGCCCATCTTAATCTATTGGCTTTTATGTATCTTACGATGTTTCTTTTCCCGAAGAGAGTCTCTATTTCATTGTTGTATCTGCTCCTCCATTCATTTGTCACGCTGTCCCTGCAAGGACCATATATAATTCGCAGGATTTTGCGTTTCCATACTACTAGCTTATTGATTTCTTTCTTTCTCAATGTCCATGTTTCACTTCCATATGTCACTGCTGGTCGTATTATGGTTTTGTACATTTGGATTTTGGCACGCCTTGAGAGAAGCTTTGACCTCATTAGATGTTGAATGGCAAAGAATGATTTATTCCCCGGCAGTATTCTTATTTCAACCTCCCGTTCTCCTGTCTTTTCACTGGTAATTGTTGCTCCTAGGTATTTGAATTCTTTGACCACCTCAAAATTATGATCGTGTATGGTAATGTTTTGTCTTATTCGCTATCGTTCCTTTTTTGATACGACCATGTATTTAGTTTTTTCTTCGTTTATTTTCAGGCCTACGCTTAGTGTTGCTTCTTCAAAGTTCGATACTATAAATGAAGTTAGTTGCGCTTAACTTAACCGCTGAACTCACAAAAAAACATAATAATATTTAATATTTTTTTTTATCTGTTTGCCCAAAGAATTGTTTACAAGGAACTTTGTTACATAATATCGTTCAACTTACCTTCTGTAGAGATCATCCAGTCCGTAGGCTGCAGACAAAGGTAGCACTTCCAGTACTCCCGTACAACAACCAGCACAAGGTTTGTGAAAGTTATGGCAATGCCTCTGTTTCAACGCGTGTTCAACGACTTCTTTAAGTCCTTCTAGTCCGAGCATGTCCGCCAATGAGGCTAGTTCCACCAAGCTGATGGAGTCTGGAACGTGTGCAGCACCGCTGTAGATATGGCACAACGCGAAGTAGACGGATTCGTATGAAAATCCCTGTAACAAGAACAAATGTTAGTATCTTTATCGCAAACATAACATTCCATACAATTACATAGAATATTTGTTTTTTTGAATATTGAAATCAGAAATTGAGGCGGCAATTAAAAAGCTAAGACATCATGAGAGGTGAAAAATAAGAACTACTAAGGAATATAATGCAGGGTAAAACCAAAGGCAGAAGAAGCGTAGGAAGACGTAAAAACCTCGTGGCTACGCAATCTCCGTGAATGGTTTGGATGCAGTTCAATTGAACTATTCAGGCTCGTAACCAACAAAATTATAATCGCCAGAATGATTTCCATTCTCCGATAGGAGCGGAACTTCAAGAAGAAGAAGAAGATAACATTACTCTTGGCTTTACCACAAACGATGACGTAAAAATTGGAGATTCTAAAAGACACAACATACAGCAAACTGTAACTAAAAGAAACGCATAGTCAATGAAATCGTAGAATACATCGTACATAATATCGTGACGACTTTTTAATTGTCAATAACTGCATATTTAAATGAATTTTTCATGGTTTTAACAACATATTTGCATGTTTATTTTAAGAGCATGTGGAACATATTTTTTCAAATAATAGGTATTACTAATGATAACTAATGCTAATAACAGTCTTCAACTCTCACAGATTTGTAGTATATGAATAATTACCATATTGATGCATTGATATTTTATTTACATTCAGTAAAACGAAAATCACTTTCATGGCTTTCTACTACATCATTCAACAATGTAAATTTATACATTTACATGATCCTTATATAGCCTTATAATTTGTCTACAGCCTCGGGCGAATGGAAATGGAAAATTATGTTTTATTATAGTGATAATATAATAATATTTAAGAAAGTTGATTTGTTTGTTGTAAACGGATCTTCTTTTATATTATGCTTGATTAATTCTTCGTGAAAATAATAACAGATGTGATGTTAATAAATAAAAGTAAATAAATATCATCATTATCGGTATGATAAGTATAATTATTCTTCTTTTTTTAGGGTCGTACGTTTTTCATCGTAAAGTTTTTCATGCAAATAAAAAGAGGAATACGACATCCTTGCAACAAATAGGTATAGATACACATATTCCAATATCTTGGTTGCTGAATGACAAACGATCACTATCATCTGACAAGCTGTAATAAGTTTTATTACCATATAGTAGTATTTAATATTGTCTAAATACTTAAAATGTAGAGCACGGATGTTATTCTGTTCAATTTATAAGCGTAGACTATCTTTCGTTTTCTTCCATTTAAATGCCAAATCTTTTAAAATCCTGTAGAGAGACCTCCAACATTTATAATGATCCCTAAATCACAAAGAGCGACAAAATGCAAATACCACAGACTGATAAGTTTAATGAGCCATTTGCTTAAGGTGTTTCTTCGCATTCTTCACACAAGAATGTTCAGAAAGCTGGAAGATCTAAGCGGTGAGACACAATTTGGTTTCAAGAGTGGACTGCGTACACGTGAAGCAGCTTTCTGCTTGAATACGCTTGTACAAAACTGCAGGATCAACAAAAGGACATAGTCATAACATTCCTCGATTATGAAAAAATCGTGCTAAAACACTTAAAAAACTATAAAACATTTGTGCAAAAGGAACAAAAATAATTATGTTAAAAACATATGTGTACAACTAGAGGAACATGCTGACCGCCAATAATCTAGGGAACTTTTTTCAAAAGTCAAGTATCTAGCGAGAGAATTCAAACCGCAGACACAGATCATCAAAAATAATAGTGAAAATACCATACAAAACCCAGACGGTATCGCAGAATTGTGGAAATAATATTGCGAAATATTATTTTCTAACCACGACTCAGAAAATAATACAGAGAAAAGAAATTATGAAAAAGAACCTCAAATATTGAAATCCGAAATTGAGGCGACAATTAAAAAGCTAAAATTCAGAAAAGCAGAAGGAGATGATGGAAAAACAGCTGAAACATTAAAAGAAATGGGAGAATTAGGGACGTAAATAATGATTAGAATATGCAAAGAAATCTGGAATATCAAAAAGTGGTCAAATGGCTGGGGTAAACTCAAGTTCATTCCCATATATAAAAAAGGTTCACCGATAGATTGCAATAATTACCGTACAGTAGCATTGATATCACACGCGAGCAAAGTACTTTTAACAATTATTAATGAAAGATTAAAATCAATTATCTTACCACAAATTCCCCAAGAACAATGCGTCTCAGGTAGAGGAACAAGAGAATATATTCTTAATATTCGTCAAATTATCGCAAAATCTCGGTAGAAACATATTTATTTTTTGTTGACTATTCCAAGGTCTTCGATATCGTAAAACGGCATATACAATGGCATAAAATGTGGAATATACTTAGAGAAAGGAATACACCAGAACATCTAATCTATTTATTATAAAAGCTATATGTAAATAATATTTCTAATGTAAAAGTTAATAATGTGGTTTTGAAAAATAGAAAACCAAAGTAATGATCATCGATAGAATCAGGAATAACCAAGCAGCCACTGTTTACCAACTATCAACCAAAATATGCTGAGATATTTTGGACATATAACTAGAAGAAGAGAAGGCATGGAGCGAATGATAGTTAAAGGTAACGTTACGGGTAAAAGATTCAGAGGAAGATAAAGGGCATGACTGGTTACTCACTCTACGAAGCAAAACATCACGCACAGGAGAGAGATAATTGGACAGAAATAGTCAACTGCATCCTTACGAAGGAGAAAAGATAGGGGAGGAGGATTTGTAATGAATCGTTTGTCGTAGTTTCTCAAATTTGTCATAGTTGCTTTCCATTTAGTAAGTGTTCCATTTAGTAAATGTTCCATAGCACACTATGCGATATATCGACGCGATAAAATATTTCGTGGAACTGCTCGTCACTTCATTTGAAATCAGCTGTAGAAGATACTAGATCTTTTTGCAAAGAATGAAGAAACTCCTTACCGATTTGTGCAAACTTAATTTTATTCAGAATTAATATACGGAACGGAAACAAAGACTCTTGAAATTAACAGTAATATCTAGGTAGAAGCCTTTCTGAATGTGAGTTTTGAAAGAAAGTTGAAGATCTCTTCAACGGAGCAACCGATCACCAATAAGGTTCTAAGAAGATGGGAAGTGAGAGAAAAAAAGATTTTAAAAATAAACAAAAAAGGAACTTCTACAAAAAAGTAAAACAGTAGGGAATTCAGTATGACACCACAACAAGATATTAAAAAGATTAGAGGAGAAATTTATTAGTTAAAATTGATGGGCCAAATATTTAGAAAATATATTAAACACAGAGGATCAATCAAAGCCAACAAATGCAACTACCAGATGAAATAACAGTAGACAATAATGAGACACCTAACCTAATCTGACCTGGGACAGACGACAGACGTTTGTAGGTAGTTACCCGCAGGACTACTCAGTAACGAAAGCGTTCGGGAGTATAATGCCCAACATAGGAAACCCAAATCCGAAAGGAGGAAGGCTCTTCATGGTGTAGTGTAATAAATTGTTCTTTACACAGCCCCAGTCTGGTGGGGCCGGTAGAAATACCGGCTAACAAGATGCTCATGGTGCACGTGGACAGAATTAATCTGCTACGTGTAGCAAGTGCTTACAGGACTGTATCAGCTGCGGACTTGTGAATGATTACTGGTTGTGTAATCCTGCATATACTAACGAGGTAGAAAAAATGAATGTTCCGATAAAGAAGTCGGAACATTGAAGACAATGGGAGGCTTGAACGGCAAGCTGAATGGGTTGGAAAGTTGGATATACTGTGAGCACTGGCGTGTAGACTAGTAGCTGATGAAAATGCTCTCAGGCCACTGTTACTTCCGTGCTTCTCTCCACAGGTTATCTCTTCCACAAATGGTGGTGGTATTGGGGGAAAGGTGGTGAATAGTGGTCTACAAATCTACAAATATATAGGAACGGTGCTGCCGAAAAAGGAGAAAAGAATAATAAAGAATAATCAGACGATAATGGCGACGGCAGACGAATGGGAGTTGGGGGACCTCCAACTTAAGATACATTAAAAGTGAACTAACGAAAAGAGAGAGTACTATTATCGATCTGTGGAATTGAGCTTTTCACGAACCAATCTTTTTAATATTTCCCTCCTAAACAAATCTTTAATTTAATAATTTATAAAATGAGTCTGTCCCCCTATGGAATCAACTTTACGATTCAGATTAATCAAATATATAAGTTTTTTTTAGTTGACTTAGAAAAATCTTATAGATGACATCTGATATTTTTTAACAATTAAGCAATGACAGTATTAAACCGAGATACTACTGACAGGTGGCCAATTATAAATATAAAAACATTTTTTGAAAGGTGCGGTGTTCTCTCAAATTTAAAAGTCGTGTAAGATGTAAATTAGAAGAGCATTATAAAAAAAGTGTATTGTCATTTTTTCGACGTAGGAGTTTGAGAAAAAAAGAGTTACATATTCAGTCAATTATTACGCCTAATTCATTCCTTTTTAATTCTATGACTAGTATGATCTACTTTTATGATACCTTGTCATCTATAATTATGGTAAAATATTCCGAAGATATTTTTTATGGGAGAGTTCATTGAATTGTATGTATATCTATCACCTTAGGAAACTTTTTTACAAGCGTAGATGATCGTGTTTAATGTACGTGTTGGTTTTATTTAATAAAGTCCATATAGTACTACGAATTACTTATTATTTGTGTGTAAATTAAAGAAAAACGTTGAGATATAAAACAGTTACTGAACGGTATGTCTAAAAACGTTATACAAATGAAGAAGACCGAAAAAATAGACACATACTGGACCAGAATAAAAGAATAACTCACAAAGTCTTCGCTGATGAACCGTAAACGTTGAAACACGTATAAAAGAGTGGCGAAAGAATCAAATTGAATCAAACACAACCGTCTATATATATTTACTTTATTTTCGTTTTTACTCGACGAAATCTCGGGAGAAGCTGTAATTCCTAGAGAGCACTAGGT